AAAAAAAAAAACCGCATAAAGCTCGGGCGGGAGAGCCATCAAGTTCTCGAAGGACTGTTCGAGGGGCGCGCCTTCCTTCCAGGATTCTTCAAGTTGCAGCTTGAAGAATTCAACTGTAGAAAGAACCTCGAAACAGAACTCGAATCGAACCGATGACCTCCCCGCCCTACGAAACCGTGCAGAACGATTTCATAGTTAGCTGGATATCCACTCGGCCACAGGACCACGCCCTGTGGTGAGTCTAACTTGCTTTACCTTGCGCGGGACCATAACTATATACCCTTTCCTGCTTCACTCCTTCGCTGGCCTAATCCATGTGCTCCAGCTTCGCCAGCTCCCCTCCAAACACTTCCTACCCTCTGCCATACGCAAGCCTGACTTCTAGCTACCAGCAATCATACTTACGTACCCGCCATCCACATCCTCTTCCCTCCATCCAGACGTATGGGCCAACTCGACTGGTCGGAAAGCATGAAAGCAGCAAGTTCCGATCATTATTGTAGTCTATCCAGCAAACCATCTCATACAAGGCCATAAATCCCATTATTGTCGTCAGAAGCGTCGTAACCGAACAGATGGATGCCAACGCGAGATTCCCCCACCACGATCAGCCAGCCTGGTGCCGCCAAAGCCCATAATCTAAGAAGACATACGAGTAAATAAGATCCCCCATTACTGAGCCCCAAGGCGATTGGTGAAGTTCATCAAACCAGAAACATGATTCCGCCGTCCAAACAGAGCTTCTGACCCGAGGCTGTCTCAGAAGTCACCTCCTCCAAAATCACCACCTCCAAAATCACCACCACCTCCAAAATCGCCGCCATCATTCCCGTCCTCTGCTGGCACGTCAGTCTAGTCTCCTCAAAGCCGCTACGACAGAGGCGGGGAAAAACAGAATCACTCACCATATCCCTGGGCATAAGCCGCATCCTGGCTATCATCAATAGCATCGGCAACCATCATGCCACCGACCAGACCAGCTCCCGCCCCCAAAGCGCCCGCTCCCAACGCCATGCCCATTCCCGGCCTCCCACTGCTACCACCACCATGCCTCCCGCCAAACCCGCCCATGCCCCCCATGCCCCCCATGCCCTGACCGTACCCATACCCTCCCTGAGGCGGGTACCCCCCGTACATAGCCTGCTGGTGCGAAGGCGGGTAACCACCACCGTACCCTCCCCCGGGATATCCACCTCCTCCTCCGTAATACTGCTGTTGGTGTCCGTGCTGACCATGCCTACCACCGATCAACCCGCCCAGCGCGCCGGGCAAGCCACCACTACCACCACTTGCCCCGTGGCCGCCTCCAGCGGTTTTCTTACTCCCAAACAGCTTCCCCAACAGGCCCTTGCCCTTTTCGAGAGGGTCGTTATTTCGCGGGGGCAGCTGGGCCGGGTAGGGTGACTGTGCCTGGGCCGGAGACGGGGAGGGATTGTACGCTCCCGATTGCTGCCAAGGGTTGTTGAGATTCGATGACGGGTTGGGGCTCACGCCGCCGTAGGCGTGGGCGGCGCGGGCGTCCTCTTCGGCTTGGAGCTGTCGCGCCAGGCGGGCGTCTTCTTCGGTGTTGGTGGGGTGGAAAGAGGTTGTCGCGGCGCTGCTTGTTTGGGCAGTAGGGTGATGGCTGTCCTCGTACGGGTTGGGTTTGTGGTCGCTGGGGAAGGGCTGCTTGTTCTCGCCAGGGGTGTAAGAGGGCGGAGGACCGGCCGGCGCACTGCTTAGTTCGTCACCTGGCGGCCGGGCTGGTTCAGTGGGCTTCTCCCATTGGGACTTTTTTGTGTAGGTGTTGACGTAGAACCTTGTGAAATCGGTTAGTTGGACTGAGACGAGAAGAGATCTGAGGGAGGGAGGAGAGGCGTACCATTCCTTGTATTGCTCGTTCCAGCGTACCACCCAACCTTCGGGTACTTTTGGAGGCGGAGGACTTGTGGGCGCATTAAAATCGGCCATGATGTCTGATGAACGAAGTGATCAAGAGTATATTGGGTCGACTCTGAAGGAATTCAGATTGTAAGAGGAGGAAACTGCGAAACTTCGCAAAGGGTCTTTGTATTCGCGGGGTAATGCTCGGATATAAGTCAGCGGGGTATATAGGCAATAGACACTTGGGATGTCTTGTAAGGGAAAGGTCCCGAAACGCGAGGCAATCTGACGTACTTAGTCTGGGGTGCTGTACCTTATATTACAAGCGACAACCCGTGCGGTCGGTTGGTGGCGATTACCCTGGTTGCCCAGTGACTACGTAACAAAGCTCATGATAGGGGCGGTTGCTGTGCTATCTGTGGCGAGCCTAACGGCACCGCCTCCTACACGTGTAGTCGAGCTAGTGTAGTGTAGAGCACAGAGAGCAAGTCTACCTACCACGTCTCGAGTATGTGTAAGGTACCTTATTTCACGCTTAGGTTGCCAGTCCGTCGCTCAGGGCCCATACGTTCAGGTCGTCGATGATGTAAATGGTGGGGCTCGCGATTTGCTTCCTGGTATCTATTATCCTTGCACTACTATATTGACTTACCCATCCCCGCACAGAACAGCATGTTTGCTCATAACTACAGTAGCGTCAGTAAAGCGTTTTGGAGGCCGAATCGATGAAACTGTCATGTCCATTCCCATATATACCGCCGTATGATCTGGTGATGCCACCTTTGGTTTTACCCCCAAGAGACGCGTGGCTACGGGGCTGTGTCTCCTCATTCACAGATAGACTGTACTTCAGGTTGTATATACCTCACTTGCTGCTCAATCATGAAATGTGTTGGGGGCTTTTCACCTGCACCCCGTTGTCTGTCGCTGACTGCTGTTGCTGCGGAAGCTGAGGCACCGAGAATGCCGACGGTCCGGTTCCTTCCCGATCTGTCATAGGCTTCTCATTCCATGCAATGCTTACATACAAACCCAAACAACTCGATGATGTACACTGCCGGCGCAATATGTGAGATTATATCTGGTCATGTAAACTTGCAACCTAAGGTACTCATGTAGTCCGTGGCGGTATGTATTCCGTCAGTGACCCCTCCCATGCGCCGCCGAAAGAAGATTGTCGCCCATCTACCGCAGTGCCCTTTAGATGCAGACCCGGTACCCCGTCCCGAGAAAGCTCTAACCACTCAAGATGCGTCAAAACCAAGATTGCCCGTGATAACGCCACGCTTTGAAACACCCTTCAATAGGTCTCGCCCCTCTCTCGCTCAGCCCTGCGGTCGCCAAAGAGGTATGCCGCCTCCATGCAGTAGCCGCCGGCTCCCGTAGCCATGCGCTTCTCACTGCCGTAGCAGATAACAACTGCATCCACAATGCCGCTCAAGGTTTCCTCCATCGCACCCAGGATGCTCCAGCCGATGAAGCTCGCTATCAAGCCCACCACGTATGCATATGCACTTCCCCGTATACCCCGGCCTCCCGGTTGCTCCAGCTCCAACTGTCGTGCCGTCATGACCCAACCCCCAAAGCCAAGAGCCGTAGCCATAATAAACCTTGTCGAGTGGAGTATCAATTTGGCAAGCCGATATGGGAGCAGTGGTGAGTATCGGTTGTGTTTGGGGAGGGAGGCTGGCGTGAGCGTGGTGGTCGGCCGCTGTGGTGAGATGAAATCCATTTGGCTGAGCCCTCGAGATGACATAGCTAGCGCCTGAGAGTGGATAGCGGCATATGTCAAGGTCAGGGGATTCGTTAGCGCCGCAATGGGAGCCGGGATGATCATATTCATGACCATGCCGAGGATATTTGCTAGTCGTTTCGGCAAAACAAGAAGAGGTAGCCGGATGGCCAGTGCCAGTAATGTCGATAGGCTGATGGTGCCGAAGATGGTCGTCATGGCGTGACCCAGAGCAGCCGAGACGACCTCCCTGGAGGAAGGGGCCGGCACAGCATTTCGATGGAAGTACCACTGAGACACGGTCGCTGCAGTGGTGCTTCGTTGCACGCCTGAGACGATAGACAGCGTCCAGAGGTACATAAGGACAAAGTACACTCCGAGCCACCAACTGGACGCGCTGATGATAAACCTAGCGAGCGTGCTAGAAAATGTCCCTCCTAGAAAGACCTGGGTGAACATGAGCAGCCAAACCCAAGTCCAAAGCACCACCACGACAAGGCATCCCATGCCCACCAGAACTAGGGCTGAGTTGGCCGCCAAGATGCGGCTGGAGAACTCGAGGATCCCAACTGCCGATTTGAGGGCATACCGTCCCTGGTAGACCAGATAGAGCCAGACTACCGCAGAGACGGCAGGGACAGCAGCCGCCCATCGCATCACCGTGTCTTGGAGGCGCGTGCTGCCGCTAGCAGGCTGGTAACTGGATATAAAGGGGTATAAGGAGAACGAAATCAAAATCACCGGGACGGCAACCAGTACCAGCGAGACCAGCGGCTTGACGAAGGACCGCAAAGCGGCGAGCCAGACGAGTGATACAATGATCGACACCAGCGTGTCTACAGCTAACATGTGGAAAGAAGCCCGCAATGTGGTGTAGATGGTATCCCCGAGCGGCGGCTTGCTGCCATTCGTGTGCAGAAAAACCAAGACGAAAGTCGAGAACAAAGATGCCTGGGCGATCAAGTATAGCCAGGCAAAGAACGCGTCGTGCGTGAAGATTTCGCCCTCCATAGGAGATGATGCTTGGCCAGTATTCATGTTCGCATCCAGGGAACTGGGAGGCAAGCCAAGTTCCGAATCATTGGTCGAGTCTCTTCTGGGGAGATGCCGTGCTGGGACGGCCGTCGTTCTGAACTTCTGAAAAGGCGGCGGGTCATTGTCAGCCGGAGTCTCCAGGGTCAGATCAGCCGGCGGTTCGCTGTCGGCAATTGTTGACTGGAGCCCAACATCTTCCATCCCTTTGCTGTCGTCGTCGTCGCTTCCTCTCGACCTTGGTCGCCTTGAACCCTTGGAGTCGCGGCCGGCATCTTGTGGTTCTAGGGCGCGCCGGGAATGGCTGCTTGCGCCATTCCAACTACTCCTGATTCCTCTGAGGCGCGCTGGAAGTGTCTCCTGCTCGTCTTCTCGGCTCTCCTCTATTGAGGCGCGACCGTCCTCATTGTCCGTCTCGGTGCTCTCCTCGAGTCGACTAGCTGCGAACACACGTCGTGATCGTTGAAGGGCGAATAGATCAGCCGCCTCCCGATCTCTTTCTTCTTCATCCTCATCATCATGATCGAGAGCTCCCTGAAACAGCGGCGCATCATTGGTAGCGTATCGAGAACCGAAGGCGGCAAGCCCCCCGAAGCGAGAGCCGCTCGGCTGATACGGGTTTCCGCCCCTGCCAAGATAGCCTCGTCCTCCAAATCTCGTCCCTCTGCCTTGCCAGTCTACTGGCCGTGATGATCGTTCCGCCGCGTCTGGTTGGCCGAAGTTGGATAGTCGTGATTGTGACTGCGCCAGGAATCTGGAGGCATCTGGAAAAGGAATAAGCATTGATTGCCCCGGATAACGGATGAAAGACACTCACATTCGGAGAACATGTCGGCAGATTCCAGTCACCCACCTTGCAAGGCGCTTTGAGACTCTGCACCACGATCCAGATGCTGGCCGGTTTTCACTGGTGCTGGTGCGGATTGGAATGAGCGACAATGGGTGAATCACAGTTGCGGGGGCGATAGGCGATTCCGGCCTAAGGTTTGCCAGGACGTTGGGATGGATTTATGATGACGGATTCGAGGCTGTGGTTGCCATGAGATGGGTAACGGCTCAGAAAATACCAGGCTCGAAAATTATGTATCTAAAATAATCGCACAGTTGCAAACGTACAGATTCGCTCAGACAACAAGCACGTTGTTTTGGCTTTGCAAAGTGGAAGCAGTTGCAAGGCGAGGAAAGGCCCGGTGGGCAGGCAACAAGTGACTGGCGGAAGCAACCGACGCGGGCGTGGGACACTGCAGCCGATGACCACCCCCCTTGCAATCCCACTTGACCAGTTCCCGAAGCGGTAAGGCAGCCTTGGAGTTAGGCAGCTAGAAATGCAACCGCTCTGTGGTACTGTAAATTCTCGTTTGGTGCATAATTTCCGTACCGTCACGAGTACGTCCTGTACATAAACATTACCTGTTATCAGCGTTTAGGAATATAGGCATTTCAAAGAAAACAGGCGGGCTGTATTGTGTAAGGCAAGAGTTTCCAAACGTGTATGACAGGTACTCCATTAAATACAGCAACTAGATGTTGATTGATGTGTCCCATGATGCAGAAGACTGATACCTCGTGTCAGACCGCCTAGGGCGATACGGGAGTGTTTCGTTCAGGCGTTATCGGGCTGTTGCGTCACCGATAACAACCCATCAGCTGCCGCAGTGCCGATCCACAGACCTGCTGATCCGCTCCACAGGCCGGGATCAATGTGGGACATCCGAGCTACGGAATGTCGGTCCCTGCTGTCGCCCAAAGATTGGCTACAAGCTTCCTGCAGCACCCAAAGTGCCCTTACCAAACGGTACAGTCAACTGAACTTGCCCGAGTCCATCTCCTGACCTCTCTGTCTCCCAAACACTTGTGCGTGTCGTGCCCATCACCGCTGGACCCAGTTCGCAACTCTTGTCAAGCACGTGTACTCTACTGTATATCCTACTGTATCCGTATCATTGTTCCAATTAGTACCTGCGTCCCGCCGAGACTCAACAAAACCGCTGCTGCACCGCTGTCTTAGTTTCCCAAGACTACCTGATTCAGGAGTTCGTGGCAAACGTTGACGACTAGTTGCAAGACGAAGCAACTTTCATCAGTCCGAACTGATTGCGTCCAAGGGTTTTACTTGAACGAATTGATTCACTAGCGAAGCGACGCCAACGACATCAGACTCTCCAACGAACTCAAACTTCCCGCTAGTCAGACACCCTTCGCCGTTGCTCAGCGGCTACCGCCCCCTTTCCATGTCCTCCTCAGTGCCCTGGGATTACATTGCAAAGCTGGTATGCATAGGCGACTCAGGGTGCGGTAAATCCTCGCTCACGATCCGGCTCTGCGAGGGGCGCTTCGTAACCCACCACGATGTGGTATGTCGAACCTCCTTACCGCTTGCTCCAGTGGCGCATGTGTCAAGAAATGCTTCCCGATTGACTAACACCCACCGGTCAGACAATTGGCGTCGAGTTTGGCTCCCGGATCGTCCCCGTCGGGCCGCCGTATTCTACCTCAACCTCAGCGGCAGCACCAACCTTGTCATCGACGACAGCAGAAAACGAAACCAAAAACCCATCAACAACCAATAGCGGGCTGCCGCCGCCCCCGACTCTCCCAACACCCGCCAAACCCGGCGACCAACCGCAGCAAAAACACATGAAACTCTCACTGTGGGACACGGCTGGGCAGGAGACGTACAAGTCGGTCACGCGCTCGTACTTCCGCGGGGCGTCGGGGGCGCTGTTAGTCTTTGATCTGACGCGCAAAGCCACCTTTCAGCACGTGACGGACTGGCTCAACGACCTGCGGCAGATCGCCGAGCCGGACATAGTCGTGGTGCTGGTCGGCAACAAGGCTGATCTTGCCTGTCCCTCCGCCGCCGATGCCAGTACCACCACCACCACAACAACAAAGCCCCCAGCAGAGCAAGGGAGACTAGAGCAAGGAGGAGCGGAGGAGGAGGAAGGAGCAGGGCGCAACCGCCGCGAGGTGACGCGCGCCGAGGCCGAGGAGTGGGCGCGGCGCAACGGCGTGCTCGAGTACGTCGAGACGAGCGCAAAGAGCGGCGAGAACGTGGAGAAGGCCTTTATGCGCGTGGCCGAGCGCATCTTTCAGAACATCCAGGCGGGCAAGTACGATCTGAACGACCGCAGGTCTGGAGTCAAGGGGCCGAGTGCGGGGGCGGCGGGAGGAGCGGGGAGCAAGCCGCTGAGGTTGACGGCCGATGCTTCGAGGAAAGCGGGAGGGGGCTGTTGCTGATTCTGATTCTCTGCATCATGATGCATGTAATGGATTATGGTTATGGGGAGCATTTGTTCAATCCCAGTGCCGGACTGGGCACGGGGACATCATTGAGGAGTTGTGGGAGGGAGATAGCAGGCAAGATATGTAATAATAATGATTGTATGTCCGAGAAACGGCATGGCAGGCTCAAGGACAAGGGCAAGTTGCATCCAAACTGAAGATCTAAGGGCACTGTAAGATTTTGGAACAAGACGAAAACAGGGCTAGAAATATCTCTAGGGGCAAAAGCAGTCTGAGCTGCCGTGTTGTAACATATAAGAATGGACAAGAAGGACCCTGGGGTTTGGAAAGACACTCAATCATTACAATAGTGGCATCGGGAATGCTCAGGACATTGTGACAGTGTACGGGTTGAATGAAGAATCTAGGGAGTGACCCCAAAAGCCAGAAAGGGGCCAGGTACGAATAAGAAATCACGTATTATCATGGTAAGGAGAACCACAGCTGTATCCTCATCTTTGGTTCGTGGCACTGGAGACATTGTGATTAGACAGGTAACCCCCTCATAGATTGCCTTAACTCCGTTCCCTTTCACCCAGCGACTGAACCCTTCCCTAATCTATGCTTGCTTGTTCCTTAACCTGCCGACCAAGGGAAACCTCAGCGCGTTCCATATGAAGGAAAGATTGCGAGATCAAGGAAGTCGATCTATCCCGGAGCCTGAATCTGTCCCCCGGCATCGTACACACTCCACCAAAGATGGCATTACAGGTTTTCACACCCTTTCAAACCCATGCGCAATCAAGCATCCGACATCCTCCAGGTGTCGAACCACTTCATGTAGCTGTACTTTTTGTTAGGGCCGGTCATGCCCCAGCAGATGGGAATGAAATAGATGTAGAGTCCAATGACACCGGCATAAAGAAGCGCGTAAATGCCGTATTGAACCACTTGTTTCTGGTTGCGGAGGAACCAGTCGGCGAGGAAGCCGAATGTGAGGATCGCGAAGTAGAGGGCCGGGTAGTAGTGGTGGACGTAGGTTACACGCGCCATGATGACGAACGGCAGGTAGTGCAGAAACCAACCAAGAACCGGGTAGACGCCGGCGTAGTGGATCTGGTCGATCTCGGGCTGCGACAGCTCCCTGTAGCCCCGCTGCCAGCGGATAACGTACCAGGCGACCAGAAGGCTGAAGATGCCCAGGCCGGCGGTCGAGCCCCAGTAGACGAGCGGATTGCCGAGAAGGAAGTACTTCACAATCTTGTCGTCCCAGCCGCACATCCTCAGGCCAACGTGCAGGATAGGCCATTGCCACCACTGGGAAGCCAGATCATCCTGCTTATCAGGGTCGGGGACGAGGGCATTGTTCGAAGTCATCATGGCAACGTTGAGGTGGACAAAATCTTTCAAGAAGGGAGATCGGTACTGGCCGGGGTCACCAGGAGGGACTGCAGCTGTTAGCAGAAAGTACAGAGACACGGAGATCCGATGTAACTCACGCTTCTCATTGGTGTGCGCCTCAATATTCCAGTGGGTGTAAGTATCACGGGGCTTGTTCTCCTTGGTGCAGGTAACCTCGATCTGCTTAAAGCCCCATTGCGGCAGGTTGACATTGCCGGCACGTAGATAGCAACCCAAGACTTCGTGCTTCAACCGGAAAGCCGTGGTCAGGGTGCGGATCTTGCTCCGGTCACGGGAAGCAGCATCGCTGACAACCTCAATCTTCCAATGGTCCTTGTCGTCGCCGACAGTCAGGTTCCCATAGCAAGACACTTCCCACTGAGACTTGGTGATGGGGGCGGCGATCTGGTGGGAATGCAGGTTGCGGCCAGTCTGAGCATGGAGCAGGCGAATGACGGAGCCGTCGCCGATGAAGCGAGGCTCGGCCGCAGGGTCATAGTCGGCATCGCGGCGATTGGGGTAGAAGAACCAGTCGTTGTTCGCATCCTTGTGGTGGTAGCATGTCACTTGCTGCTGGGTGGAGCCCTCAGGGTAGCTTTTCAGGAGTCAGTACAATGAAGTCGAACAATTGGAGCACCTTGAACCTACGTCTGAACGTGACTATTAAGCGGTTAGCAGCATAATCATGCACATTCAAGGTTGGGTAAACGTACCTGTGGAGCAGACCGCCGCCATAGCCCATGTTCTTGATTGTGACCCTGGAGCCAAACGCAACCTCTAGAGGACTGTCTCTGCCTACTTCAGTACCCCTTAGGTTGGCTTGGAAAAGAGAGGACATCTGAGCATCGCCGGGGCCGCTGTTGGTGAGGACGGCAAAGTGAATGGCAAAGCTGAGGAGATAGACGAGGAACGGCAGAATAATGAGACCAACGACGCGAGCCGCAAAGTGGGCAGCGAGTTCGGTCTGCAACGATGGTTAGAACACTCTCTCAAACCCAGATCGAGTCCTGACATACGATAGGCATCTTGGTGTCGCCAAACTTGTTCCACAGGTCCTCAATGGTATACAGGCCGACCAGAGCGGTCACAAACAGCCCGACCAACTTGACGCTCGTCACGAAACCGATGCTCAGGCCAGTCATGAACAGCCAGAAGAACCATTCGGGCTCAAAGCTGTTCTTGCGCTGATTGTGGAACTTGGCCCAGCAGAGAGTGGTGGCGACGGTGCCAAAAAGAAGCATCGAGTCGAGGAGGATAAAGCGGCTGATGGTGGTGTACGAGTTCTCGCAGAGGACCATGAGCGCGACAAGCCAGACGGCAGGGCGCCTGAACTTGAGCTCCTTCGCAGTCCAGTAAGCCATGGGCACGCAGATGGCGCCCCAGAAAGCGTTGAATTGGCGCATGAAGGTATAATTCAACTCGGGCGGGTAGGTCTCGCCCGACTTGAACTCGAAGGATCCATTGTAGCCGGCGAGGTACCCGCTGAGACCGACGAGGAGTTTCCCGGCAGGGGGCTGCTTTCGGGTCAGTCGAGGCAGGACTCAGGTCCATGCGGAGGGTCAACTTGCATGCACATCGAAGTAGAACTCTCGTTTTAAGTAGTGGCTGCCGAACTTTCCGAAGCTGTAGATGGCGGATATTAGCTGAGCTTCCAGCACTGCGCAAATGGGGGTTCGACTCACTGGGCCTCGTCCCACGTCACGATGTTGGATAGACCAATTTTATACAGCCGAGTGAAGAAGGCGAGGAAGGTAAAGACGATCGGGGCAATGAGCCATTCCCACTCGTCAAGTTGGTCGAGCAGGGAAGGCTCCTAAAGGACCGAATGCGGTCAGCATTAACGCAGGTATGATAGCGCGCACTGGTGGTCCTCTGGTAGTGCAAACAAGGTGATTGGAGGCTTGTACTGACCTTCTTGGCCTTCTTCTTGTCGTCGGACTGCGGTGGAACGACGGGCACGGTCTGCGGAGTGCCGGGGATGTTGCGTCGCCGGGCCGCGTCGCCCACGTCGGCGCCGGAGACGACAGCAGCCCTGTCGAACCCAGAGGCCATGGCGTTGGGCGTACCGGTTTAGGAGCGGATGGTTGTGTTGCTATTCAGGGGTTGGCGGAAAGACCTGAGTCGTGATATGATTCGAATTATAAAACGGCTAAAACGAGCGTGTTGAAACGAAGTCGAAATAAATTGGTAAAAGCCGTTGGAAGCAACGCAACCAATGGTAAAAAATTCAACACTCCACGAACTGTGCCCTAGGAGATCCAAGGAGACACGATGAAGGGTGAAGAATTGGAACGGGCCAGCTCTCTCGAGGTAAGTCGAGCTTTGCGAGGCTGAGCTGAGAGAGGAAAAGGGATGACGGGTCGTCGTGGCCTTTTTCGCATGCCAGATGGATGCGGCGGAGCGACCCTTGCTTGGCGTCTAACACACCCTTGTCAAGACTCAGCTGCTGTAACTTACGTACTTTGTAACGTAACGTTACGCTTGTTTTGTAAGTTACACAACTAACAGCAGGTTACCCCCTGAAACCACTTGGATCATCAGCCCACAAAACATCCAGTACCCAAAGTTCATGGTTGTGCTTACAATCGCAGATGTGAGGCACATTATTCTCGATATGAGGTGAAGGAGAAGAGGAACATTGCAATATCTAAGTATATGATCAGCCTTCCATGCTAAATCCCAGAGTCCCTGAAACCTGGATACCAATACGAGGCGGAAGTAGAGTCTCGATACCGTGTAGTTTGAGACTGCGCTTCAAGATTTGCGAAGGGCTAGTACAGCCTGGTTCGTTCCCGATTGGGAAGTTGAACCATCAGGAAGGGCATTGGAGGCTACGGTACCGCTGCGGGACGTCCCACGGTCACGGAGCAGTCACCAGAAAATGGATCAGGGGCAATACTGTACAATTGGTATACACAACGGCTCCTGTCCCTTCTAAGTAGCAAAACGCCTGCCCAGGCAGACCACTCAGCTCATGCCTCGGCTTTGAGGGCAGCCGATTCAGCGTGTGCTGCAGCGAGCATAGCCTTCTCTCTCTTCCGACCCTCAATCAAGGCCCTGACCCGTTCCCGGTCGATCTTGCTCCTCGCCTCGAGCTCCTCGGCCTCTTGCAACTGCATCTCGTCCTGGGGGGTGGGTTGCACCTCCATGGCGCCCGTCTTATCCATGAACTCCTTCAGAATGGCTTCGGATCGCCGCCCCTTCATCTCGATGGTGACAGCGCGCTCGCCCTCGACCGGCGCGGGTGCTTTTGCAAAGCCTTCTGTTGACGAACTGGGTTGCGGAATATCTGATCGGAGCGTTGCACCGGCCTCGCGAAAGTACAGCGTCATCTTCGCGGGTCCCTCTTGGTCCTCCGTCCGGTTGACGATCATGGGAATGGCCGGGTTCCAGTACTTTAACCGTGGGAGCGCTTCACGCCAAAATTTCCTGCCAGAGCCTGTCAGCCTCGGTGCCCGTGGTGTAGATTCGCGAGAGAAGCGAGGCAACGGCGCACCTTGGCCCCATGTGCCCGCCATTGATCTTTTTGGCGAATTCTAAATGTATCCTCGTCACATCGTTTGGGAGGACTGCTGCGCCGGGACCTATTCTTATCCGCACAAGCTGTGAACGAGGTCAGTGCCGTGGCCAGGGCGCAATAGTCTTCAATAGCAGGACCGTGGCGGCTTTACTCTACCTTCTGCGACAGAGTTAGATGATTGTGCTGCTAAACGGTCGCGTTTGGGGGCACTCACTGATTTCAACTGATTCATCCGCCGTACGACGCCCACCATCTTGAGAAGTTCGAGCGGATGCGCTCCAGACTCGAGGAATTGGTTAAACTCTGTCTGCCGACGGAAGGTACTCTGTAGATTGGCTTACCCAAAATCTCTGGTTCACACCCTAGTGTTGATCTGTGCTTCCACTACGGGCGTTATCTTTTGCTTATCATTGCCTGCCGGGAACTAAATGTGGGGATGCTCCATTGCTCCTTGCAACCCCTGGCAAAAAAGTTCCCCTTGGCCCAAAGAAATCTCGACGAGGAACTGGCTGTAAGCACGACACAGATTGACCGCAAATCAATCAGCCATGCAGCGGTCATCGGGATGCGCGCTCGCCGCAAGACGATTGTGCCGTGCCTTTAACCTCGACCGCAGCCCTTCAGCCTTCGATTTGCCCCTATATTTCTGTCCAGCATTTCGGTCACTGTCGCTTGGGAATCCCACAGCTCGACGCCCGCAATCCCGGCCCGAGTCGCGATGGACCCAAGTCCGGCAGCTGCATGCGCAGTCTGTTTCTGCGCCCAGCGCAGAAGGACAACCAGAGCTAGCCCAGAAGCCTCAAAGAACACTGCCGTTACAATGTCCAGGCTGCGGAGCCTTCTCCCAGACCGCGGTCCCTAGCGACGCGGGCTACTACAACCTGTCGCGGAAATCTGTCATGCAATACTTGGGCCTAGAAAGACCAAAGGAAGCTAAGAAGCCCAGGAAAGCCGATCAGATTGTTCAAGAGGTTCTACAAAGTGTTGATGTTGAGGCCCTGGAATGCCAAGGCATTGATCTCAAGTCCCTGCTGCCAGAGAGCAAGCCCGCGTCCGCAGCTACGACGGAACCGGATAAGCCCCCTGTCTGCGACCGTTGCCACAATCTGATTCACCATTCGACCGGAAACTCGATCTACCATCCGAGCATTGAGTCTCTGCGAGAAACGATCGAAGAGTCCCCCTACAAGTACAACCACGTTTACCACGTCTTGGATGCCGCCGACTTTCCCATGTCGTTGCTCCCGAGGTTGCACAGTCTGATGGACATCAAACTACGGCCGCGAAACCGCAGATCAGATCCGGTCAACTTCCGTCACGGAAAGAAGACGGAAATGAGCTTCATCATTACGCGATCTGATCTTCTCGCACCCACCAAAGAGCAAGTTGATGCGCTGATGCCCTACCTTCAGAGTGTATTGCGGGACGCGCTAGGCAGGGTTGGCGAGCGTGTCAGGCTAGGAAACGTCCACTGCGTCAGCGCAAAACGAGCTTGGTGGACAAAGCAGCTGAAGGAAGAGATTTGGGAGCGTGGCGGGGCGGGGTGGATGGTGGGCAAGGTCAACGTGGGAAAGAGCCAGCTGTTTGAAGCTGTGTACCCGAAAGGCAGGATGGACGAGAAGCCGCCCAAGCAGCAGATCTCTATCAAAGTCTTCCCCAAAACACAAACGAACGCAAACCCACCACTCGCAGAACCTGAACAAGACTCTGAAGACTCCAACCCCCTTCTCCCAGGACGAACGGCCATGCCCGACGACGACTTTCCCCTCCTCCCCCCACCACTACCCGAAACCAATTACCCCCCCATGCCGGTAGTCTCCTCTCTACCCGGGACGACGGCCTCGCCGATTCGCGTGCCGTTCGGCAACGGGCGCGGCGAGCTGATCGACCTGCCAGGTCTGTCCAGGGGCGACCTTGAGCTTCACGTGCGCGAGGAGAAGCGCAAGAACCTGATCATGACGGAGCGCATAGTTCCAGAGACGTACGCCGTCACGCCCGGCCGCTCGCTCCTGATCGGCGGCTTCATCCGCCTGACGCCGCGCAACGTGGCGCCCGATGAGGAGCTCGTCTTCATAATGTACCCTTTCACCCCGATCAAGGCGCATTGCACGTCGACGAGAAAAGCCGTGGCCGTCCAGACCGAGGCCGAGGACGCGCCCAACGTGGAGAACATTGCGCTGCCCGGGACGGGCGCGACGATCAAGCACGCCGGCGCGTTCCAGGTGCGCTATGACACCACCAAGAAGCAGGCCCGCGCCGTGCTTGACAGGACGGGCGTGAAAGCGGACAGGTTGCCGTTCCGGGTGCTGGGGATTGATATACTGATTGAGGGCTGTGGGTGGGTCGAGGTGGAAGTCCAGGTTCGGACCAAGAAGCTGTTTGGTTCGCCATCGGCTTCTTCTTCGGCGACATCGGCGACGGCTACGATAAGGGAAGGAGAGAAGGACGGTGGAGACGGGTTGGGCGAAGTGGCGTCCACGTCGGAGTGGATGGAGAAGCTGGATCTGAGGCCTGAACCGGTGAATGCCGAGGAGAAGGAGGGGTCCGGGAAGGACGGCCAGCCTGAGCCAAACTGGCCGATTATTGACGTGTATAGCCCCGAGGGAAGGTTCATTGGCTATCGGCGGCCGATGAACGGGTTTGTAATCAACCGAAAGCCGCACAAGAATCAGAGGGGGAGGCCGAGGAAGAGCATGAAGGGGGCTAAGAAACTGGCGAAGGCCGCCAGAAGGGAAGAGGAATGAGGGTGATAATCAGTCAAGGTAATGGCGATGCTTCGAGGCTTTTGGTTATTTGGGGTGTAGGATATCTGTATTATATGTGTATAAAACATGTATGTGGTTGACGACTCAGCACCATTAGTTGTGGCTGCGGGTTAAACAATGTTGGAAAGTTGGTCGGGTTTTGAGCATGTATTGTGGAAGGGTATAACAACACTGGACCCATCTAGACAATAGCCCGAATTTACTCAGGGCAGCAAGTTTTCCTGTCTATATATACGCCAGCCGATGCCATGCTGAGGAGGTGGTAGTAATACATTAGAATGTTACATCTCTAGTATACCAATCCTGGTGATTCAGCTGGCTCAAGACCCGGGCGGTCCCTTAAACCTGCCGTTATCATCATACCTCGCCTCTGTCGACAACCGTCAGCAACGCTACCTCCTTCACACAAGTATGAGGTGGGAAAGAAGCTTACTAAAAAAGGTATAGTTCAACGTCACCGTCTCAACACCCTTCATATTCACATCCTTGAGCAGGTCGGGATCAAGGTAGAAGAACACGGGCATGTCGACCGTCTCGCCCGCGGCCAGCCGCTGCTCCTCAAAGCAAAAACACTGGATCTTGCTGAAGTAGGGCGCTACCTGGGCCGGCGTCACGCTGTAGGTCGCGACGCCGATGATGTCCGTGTCGGACTTGTTGGTCGCCGTGTAAAAGGCCAGCGCCGTCTCCCCGGGCAGCACCCGCACCTCGCGCTGCTGGGGGGTGAACTTCCAGGGCAGCACGTCCGACACGGACGAGGAAAAAGTCACGCGGATCCGCTTGGCGTCCGTCACGGGCTCGAGGCGGGCGGCTAGATCCTCTGGTGTGGTCGAGGAGGAGCTCCCGCTGCCGCCGCCATGTGCGCGCACGGGTTGGCCGCCCCAGCCGGTTGTTTGGCATATCTTTTAGGTTTTTCCATGGTTAGCATGACGGCCCCTTAAGGATGGGTGGATTCGAGGTTAAGGGGAAGGGGGAAATACCATCTTGTACATTGGCACCGAACCATACGAAAAGGCGACGGTCCCCAGAATGATGCTAAGCGTGTAGTACCTATACATGAAATAGACAATGCTTGGTCAGCAAGCTGCCCATACAACCAAGGCAACCACAGATTGTTTGTTTTCTAGGCCCCTAAAAAGAAGAAGGGGGATAACAGACATGGTTGGAAGAAGAAGCCTACATTGTCGACCGATTCCTCCTCCTGTAAACCTCGCTCATGCGATCCATTCCCGGCGCCGCCCCATAATGTGCTGCACTCTGCTGCTGCTGATACTGTCGCCGCTGAAATTGCTGCTGCCTCTTCGGCAAGCTATCTGACAAGGAACGTGTGGTCGTGCCAGGCCGCGGCTTCGCGATCGACGTCGGTTGCAATTGGGCGCCCGCGCGCCGGCAACGCAGGCAGGGCTGGTTCGTCCAGACGCCAGAAACCAGGCGCCGGCCAATGTTCGGTATTGAGTTCATTGTTCAGCGGCCGTGGCCTGAGAGGCGTGAGATTGTGGACGCTGTATCGGTCGTCTGATCGAGGATCACGCCGAAAGTTAAGTTCAAGGTGTCGGGTCAGGCTGACAGCTGACGAGCAGCTGGCGGTCCTTCAAGTTCCGAGCGAGGAAAAGAGAAGACAACCACACGAAAATATAACGAACAAAATATCAACCTCGCGGTCTGATCACTACATCAAGTGTGCGCGGTAGGTGCGGCGATCTGCCTTCCTGATAAGGGGAAAGGCACGCGCCCTATATGATTCCTTTCGCGCTGAGCTCCTATAGTGACAGCACTCCTGCGGTCACTTACACCACCGAAATTGCCAAAAAAAGGGAACACAGTCAGACCTCAAATAATTCGCAGTTGCATGTACGTGAGTGTATCAGTCTGAGCACAAAATCAACAGACGCCGCCCGCCTTCCGCCCCCCAAACCCAATGCAGATTACAACTCCTTCTCATACACCCGACCGTTCATCCCAGATACACCCGTTACCCTAGACACCAGTCGCCGTGTGGCCGTGACTTCTCCAACCAACCTATCCAGAACGCCCACAATGCACAATTGCACCATAAATATCAACAGCCTGAGAAACCTGTCAACAATGCTGATCTGCGGCCTCGTGCCCCGGCTGAAGGTCGAGTCTTGAAACTCAAAGGGAATGTTAGCCCCGAGATGCTCCACGGCGACACGCAGCCCGCTGCTGAAGCCGTCCTCGTGGAATCCGTACCCCGTCCACGCCCCCGCGTAGCTGATCCCGCGCCTGTTCTGGATCTTCTCCAAACGCTCCTGCGCGCGGACGGCTCCGGGGGTGTACAGGGGGTGTCGGTACGTGTACCGCCCCTGCACCGTCTTGGGGTCCGGCTCGTGCAGCGGGTTGAGCGTCAACAGGACGTCGCCAAACGTATCTCTCGGTATGTTCTGGAGGATGTTCATGTTGTACGTCACGCAGAGCCGGTCGATGTGGCCCATGCCTGTCAGGGGCGAAGACTCGGCCAGGCAGTTCCAGCTCGACCATGCTTTCCGGGATTCGGGCATCAGGGCCACGTCTGAATGCAGCACCGCCACGTTCTCCGTCGTGCGGAAGCTTCCCAGGATGGCACGCTCCTCGTCAGTCGCCGAGTCGCGGATGATTGAGTACGCCTGGTCGCCGTGCGTGGCCAGAATGACGTGGTCGAACACGTCGGTATCACCTGCCCCGGTCTGAAGCCGTACTCGGCCATCGGGGTCGCTGGTAAGCGCCGTCACTCTGGTATTGAGCCGGAGATGGTTGGAAGGGAAGCCCTTCATGACCGTGTCGATGTACGTCCTAGATCCCTTTGTGATGGTGAGCCATGCCGGCCGCGCCGCGAATGTCGAGAGCAGATGATGGTTCCACCTTTCAAAGTCAGTACGAGTAACTGGGCTGAGCGACATTCGTACTTACATAAACCGGATCAGCGTGACCACTGGAAAATCGAGCGTGCACCGGTCGGGGCTGGTGCTCCAAACTGCTGCCGTCATTGGGATGAGATAGTCGTCGCGGAACACGCTAGAATAGCCTTCTCGATCCAGGTATTCCCCAATTGTCTCGTCGGTTGAGTTTTCCGTCATCAATGCATCTAGGGCAAACTGGTTGAACCGGATGATGTCAAACAGCATGCGCCACATCTTGAGCGACAGAAGGTTCCCCCGCTGGCAGAACAAGGCATCAAAGCTCGAACCGGCCCACTCAAACAAGCCGCGGTCCCGCGAGACTGAGAATGTCATCTCGGTAGGCTCTGTCTCGACACGGATTCTCTTGAGGAAGCTGATGAAGTTTGCTGTTGCCACGTCAAAAGAGGCCCAGCGATAGGGGGTTGAGGGCGTCGACGACTTACGATAGGTTGCCGTGTTCATGACGATGAAGCCCGTGTCAACCTTCGTCTTGTACTTTCCCTTGACGAACTCGACAGTGTTTGTATGCCCACCGAGCCGGCCCTCGGCCTCATAGATGTAGACATCATGGGGACTACGGTTCAGCGCCCATAATGCCGCGATTCCGGCACTGCCGCTGCCGACGACGGCAACCTTCTTCCTCGGGTATGGATTAGCGCGTTTGATCATGGACAACAAGTAGACGACTCCCAGGGAAGCAAGCGGGTGCTATGCTAGTGAGAGATAGAGAGGAATTTGGCCGAAGCAATATGTCGACACTGATGACATATGACTGAGAGACTGAGAGAGAGGACTCTCGGGAACATATCAGCCGTTGTAGTGGGGAAGTGAGACACAAGTACAAAGGCAAGCCACTTGCCTTTGCCTTGTACAAGTCGTGAATGGTTTAAGTCGTGAGACGCACAGCGAAGCGTCCGTGGGGGGATCGAATAGGAATGGACCTGCTGCATATATGCAACGTCTTGAGCAAGTGTTTACAGCAGAACGTGGGCGTTCAGCTGACTTAGACTCAGCAGCGACAGCAAATCGTGTATAGGGCTTCCGATAGACCGATACAGCCAGATTCGAGCGAGCCATTGGGCAGTGATAAGGCGCCACCTTTGTGTTGAAGGGAGCCGACAAACACCGCAACCTGTGTGACCCTGACTTACATGGGTGGCTTTCCGGATTCAGACATTCTGCTCCCGGTGTTGATGTCAAGGGCCAGAGAACGAAAACGGACATTGGTGATCAGTCCACCGTTTCTGCCCTCGGCTGAAAGGGAAGAAGAAATTGAGTTATGACGCTGGGTGTCAAACCACTGGATCGATAAACGAAAGAATCAGTGTTCAGATGGAGTAGGACCGAGAGGTCGGGACATGGAAAGAGATCATTGCTTCGCTCATCAAATTCATCTGCAGTCCATTCACCCACAAGCTGCCACTCTTCTGCCACCTGTCAGCATTCCTACTGTGTAATGGCTGGCAAGGAGCAATGGACTTGTGGCATTGTGCTGGAAAACAGGAACCTGGGATGAGAGAATTCCATGTTGGTCTTTCGGCCAATTGTGCTTGCCCACATCTCGCAGCTCCATCCGCATCGTGGCTTGCAAGCAGCCGTTTAAACCAGCAGACAACCGGATGAGTGTGCTGTACTGGGCTCCTGAGAACGCTCGATATCGGCTCGATGTGATGGGAGTAACTTTTTACCCCTAATTTCCAGAATGGATGGATAGGTATTGTCGAGACGGACTGCACAAAGAGCCCAACACCTCTACGGTCGTTGGTCGGGGGACCAATTCTTTCATATTCACCGCCGATATGTTTAAGCTAGCGTCATTGAGACCAATCAGTCGCTTTCCTAGTCCTACCTACCGTAGTGCAAGGCCTTGACTTCCCCTTAGCTCTACGCGACGGGCCACTCCATTCGGGGAGAAAGCTTTTTATTCGCAAGTAAAGATGTCGAGGCCAAACGGGATCGCCCACTCATCGCAAAGGCACACAGAGCATGCCTGCTAGTAGCAATTCTTGAGACGCCGAGGTCGATCTGCCCGGTAAAACAACCCAATGCACACGGAGGGATTTTGACATTGGGCCTGAAATCTGCATCCCGGGGTTCAACTTTCATGGAGAGAAAAGAAGGAAAATGGAAAATTGAGTGGAAAGATTGAGGGCCTAAAAAGGCGTGGGTGGGGCGTACTGTACTGTACGCATGTACTGATGTACTGTGCGTATGCACGGTACTCCAATTCAAACTGCTGGATTGAACTTCAACTTCATGTTGAACTTCTCCCCACAAGAGCATGTGCTGGCATCTTAAGTCTTCTGCGTGGAGTTTTGGAACATAGCTACAAACACCAATCTGAGGGTCCCGTTCCTCCTGACAACGGCTTGAATTCACTTTGCCTTTAAGATCCCAAAATAAAACCTAACATTTTTGCCCTACATCAACACCGTCAAAAGTGACTATCAACCCAATCCTCAGCAACAAGACACAACCCGTCCACCTCCTAAGAAAGAAAAGGCCAACAACTCATGATCTCCCCTTCCCGCTTTTACTGATCCTACTGCCATGGATGGCCGGTCCTCTCCGCTTCTCCTGGCCCAGCCCTCTCCTGCCCGCCGCAATTCCCCCTTTCCCGCCGCGACCCCCTGATTTCCCGCCCCTGCCAAACGGTCCGCCCCGCCCCCTCCCATCGCCTCCCCTCCTGCGACCGTTGTTGCCGCTGCCTGCCCTATCCCTAATTGCCTTGGCAGCGGACTCGTCAATCTCCATCCCGCCATCATCGCTGTCATCCTCATCATCCGCGTTCTTTCTCCCTCGGTTCCACTTGAGCTTGCCGCGCAGGCCTCGTCGGGGTATGTCCTTGCCCCTAAGGGCGGCGACATAAGCACCCACGCCGCTCTCCGCCTCTCCAGTCCCAGCAGGGGCGTCGATATCCATGGCCCCGTCCTCGTCCTCCTGACCTAGAATGAGCTTCCCGTCCGGATCGGTCTTGGCCTTGGTCTTGGTCGGCCGCTTGAGCTTGACGGGCTTGGTAGACGAGATATTAGCGAGGGCGGCGCGGTCAAGCAGGTCGAGCGGTTCGTCCTCGTCTTCAAGGATGTATGCGTTTCCGGCCTTGCGCTGTCTGCGCGCGGCGTGGTTGCCCGTCATCTCGGCGTCTGAGTCGTCCGAGTGGTCGGCCGCCTCGTCCGACTCGTCGCTGCTGTACAGGGCCTGATCGTACTCGCTTTCAAACCGGCTCTTGCGTCTGCCGCCTGCACCTTCGGCACCGGACTCGTCTCCATCCTTGGCCGCCGCCTTCTTACGCTTGTTGCGTTCTTTGGTCTTGCGGATATTGGTGATAAGCTTCCGGTCTGCCTCGGGGCAATGCTTGTTGACGGTATCCACGCCAAACCGCCGCACCATCCGCTCCAGGATGTGCTTGACCTTGGCACGGAAGTGGCCCTTATGCTCGTGGCTCCAGACCATGACGTTAGGAATCAGGGTCGGGAGGCGGGGCGTGATCAAGTCAGTGGGTAAGCTAATGACGCAGACCTTGACGAAGCCAAGGACACTCTTGACAATCTCTCGGTTGTTTGATGTTAGGAACAGGTCCATGGTTTGTACCAGGTCCGACATGGTCTCGTGGCTCAGCGCCTCGCGGAACTCGTAGAGGATACGGGTGATGGCCGTGATGGTGGCCGAGATCATGTGAGGCGTACTACCAGCGAGGCCAGCGCTGACCATGGTAAAATATTCCTCAGTCGAGGCTGTCGCGGCCGGTGCGTCCTTTGGCATGTGCGGAACCTTGCTGTTGTCAATCATGGCTCCGTTCGCCTCCATCATCTTGTGGCCCATGAGGACCAGCAGATCAAAGGCAGTTGTCCGAGCCTTCTCGTTTTGCTCCTTGCAACTGATGACGACCTCGGAAAGGACTGAGGGTATGAAGTGTAAAGACGTGTTCGGGATAAAAGGAATCAGAGAAGTAATCGCAGCAAGCCGCTCTCGCCTGGCTGGCGCAGAGACCTTCTCGGTGCTCGATAAGATGAGGGTTTGAAGTTCTGCGTGTCTCTGCTCAAGAGCGGCCTTTCCAATCTCCGAGTCCGCCAGCCGCGGGATTAGCTTGTAAGCCTTCTTCTGCAACTGCGGGTCATCGTCCTTGAAAACAACAAGTGATGCAATCTTGAAGAGAGCCTCAAAGCTCTCCCTTGGGAGGTAGATAGACATGGTAACCACGAGGTCCATAAGCGTGTGTGCGGTGGAAGGCACTTGCTCCCCGTTCTGTTGGCTTTTCTTTGGCGGTGGTTCCTGAAGTGCCACCGCTAGTTTCTCGCACACAAGATCAAATGTCTCCGTGAGCCGAGCCGGGGGTATGATACTCAGATAAGCGTTGATGGTTTGCAAAACCGGCCCTCGTTTCTGCGGTAGAGTCGTGCTATAGACGTTGAAGAGCACCGCAAGGAAGTCCGCAGCGAACGTAGTCCCGAGATACTCCAGATTCCTTTGTGCAGTTTCCTTACTTACCCTGCTCTGCACGATTGGATCCTCCTCATCAGATGCCGAGGCGATGACCTGATTAGATTCGACGAGCGCTTTGAGCGCACGGCACACGTCGAGCCGCAACTCAACCTGCTCGTAGAGCAACGTCGTCAGCATCTCGGCGAAGCCCTTGTCGAAAGCCTCCACAAGGTCCATCGGCAGATCGCAGTATCCAGGAAGGATGGACCAAATCTGTTGCACCACAGTCTCAAAGATCTTAACCTCCATCGTCTTCGCGGCCGCGCCATGATCTAGCACGCGCTGGAACATGGCCGCGCTCAAGGGCACAAATTCGGTTTTAAAGTGCCCAAGGTTTGTATTTGATGTGTAATCCCGCAGAAGCGGAAGCATCCACGCTCTGCCGGGCTGACCCTTTGCCGGCTTTGCGAGATTCAAGGGGAGGACACTTAACACCGCCTCCGGGCCCATCGCTCGAATAGCCTTCCCAAGGACTTCGTCGGCCTCCTGCTTCCCTGTGAATGAATCATTGCCCCGCATCTCACCAATGCTCTTCACGACCGAGAGGAGATAAGGGTTCGCTCTCCACCGCAGAGCGTCAAACATGGCGCCAATGACGTTGAACGTCTCTAGCCAGGCTGCTTGGTACTTGACTGTGAGGAGACCTTCGACCGTGTCCACGAGCTTCTGAATGACTTTTTCCTCGTATATTGATGGGTCAACAAGTACCTGTCTTGGAACACAATTCGCCATGAACGAAACCAGGCACTCCGAGGCGGAGATTCGGATGTTCTTCGCTTCTGACTCTAGATACCCAGCAACCATGTTGAAAGGATCCAACAATTCCTGAAATGTTTCCTCCGGAGAGATCTGCGCTGAGACATCGTAGGCTCTGGATAGAATGGCGATCCACGGCGGAAGGAGTTGTGTGTCGTTGGGCGCGGGGCGCAGTTCCTTGATGATCTCAAGTAACCTCGGAAGTTTGGCTGAGGCAACCTCGTCTGCCATTCCCTCAAAGATCATTTCGAAAATATCAAACACAGCCATGCTCATGTGCTCGTTTCCCGACCGAGCGATGTTAAGGAGCAACTCGCACAAGGACTCGATCTTTTTGCTGGGCCACCCACCGCTGGCCGATGCTACCGTTTTGACCAGTTGAAGCGCATGAATTAACTCCGGGTCATGAGCCGTCTCGGATCCCTTCTTCTCTTTCCTTGACTGAGCCGCCTTTTCTGCCACCGCCCTCAGGCTCATCATGGCGGTCTCAGCGCACATGGCAGCGGCCGGGTGATCGAGCGATGGGCTCGGCGGTGGGTTCTTCAGGACTTTCCTCAACGCTTCCTGCGCCCTCTTTCGCACCTTCGGGCGGGGATCAAGGGCCAGACTCAACAGGCCGCCCACCGCCCGCCGAGGACCGACCTGCGCGGCGCTCATCTCCCACGCCGCCGCATCTTGAGCCAACAGCAGGCTTTCCAAGCAGCCAATCGACGACCTAATCAGTGGCGCTTCGGCGTCTGGCTGCGACAACACCGGCGCTAGGATCGTAAGGATCTGTGTGAACCGGGCTCGGAGGAGGGGCTCGGGCGTGAATGGAGTGACAATATCGAGAAGATAGACGACGGGCTGCGCAAGTGTCTTGTTGTCAAGAAGGCTGAGAAGTGCTGCAAAATACGCTGTCGGGGTTGGTTCGGTGTTGCGTTCCTTGAAAGCGGACTCGACGCCCTCTAGGACGCTGGCGGTCTGCAACGCACGGTAAGCTTCTGATTTCAAGGCCATTTCATGAATGGGTGGATGAAGAGGTCACAAGACGCGAGATCCCTACCTGCTTTTGATTTTGGAGATTCGGCGACCGGATCTTGTCCAGCTTCTCTTTCAACGAAGGAGAAGCCATCTTGGCGTTTCCGTATTGAAGACGCTGGCTTGTGAGTCGAGATACCTCGGGCTGGACTCGAGATCGAGGCACTCGAAATTTCAACACATGAACTCAAAAAGTTGGGGTGTTATCGCTATCGGTGGGCTGCCCCACTTGGCGGTGAAAGCGATAAGGGTTCAGGGGACGCCCAGGGTTAGATATGGCAACACTTGTTCTGTAGGTAGGTATCCAACTTGAAGTCGGTTACATATTGCAGACCGCTTCAGTCACTCGATTACCTACTTCACACGATCTAACTGTGCCAGGCCATCACTGGAAGCCTTATCATCGCCGCGTGCTGACCAGGCCCCTGCGGCGGAAGAACCCCAAGGTAAGATGCAGCCCCAAGTAATCCCAAACGCCAGGAACGATTCATCTAGGACGTCTCTCATGAAAACTCATTGTCGGCCTCCTCAATCTGATTCTTGATCCTCACAAAAAGCTCCGTCTTCCATTTGTCGAGTCGGCTCAGCTGGTCATACGTGTACAGCTTCTCGGTAAACATCTCCTGGTTCCCGGCTTCAATGGCCTCGATCAGGTTCTCTAGGAGCTGGCATTCGCGCTGGCTGGCGAACGAAGGGTCCTTCTCTTTGTATCTGGCCAGGTTACGGCGCGCGCTAACAAGGTCCTTGGTAGCCAAGATGCAGATTCCTGCCTTCATGTAGTAGTCCTTGACCGAGTACTTCATCAGGTGGTTATCGAGTGATGAGTCGGCCACTTTCTCAAAGTTCTCAATGGCCATGTAGTACTCGCCTTCGAGCGCTGCAATGTCCGCCACCTTGAGCCAGAGCTTGTTTGCCAGGCTGGTGCCCATTAAACATCATCAGCGGGTGAAGACGAATCAGAGAGCACGGGCTGCACTCACGCTTTGGCACCGTCGTCCTCGTACCACTTGGCCGCTTGTTGATAGTATCCCATGGCTTTCTTGCGATCGTGCAATTCGACCTCGATCAGCTCGGCCACGTTCTCCTTGTGAGATGCGGCCCGGCGGAAGTTCCCCTTGGTCGTGTACCTCAGGATGGCCTTGTCCATGCAGCTCACGGCACGCTCAGGGTCGTCTTTCCTATAGACCTTGAAGGCGTCCACCCGGATATTAGCGGCCTCGTCCGGCTCGTTCAGCCTCTCCTCGTTGATCTTGGCAGCCTCCTCAAAGGCCGCACCTGCTTCCTTATCTGATGCCCAGGGGTTGTCAGCAATAGCAAGCAGCCGAGGATTGAGGTGTTGCGCGCGACGCCGACTCACTCATGTTCTGCATCCGGTAGGCATTCGCCGCCTGGACGTAGTAATCGGCGGCCTGCTGAAGCTTGTCTTCCTTGTTGCTGAAGAAGCTGAAACCCCCAGATGCGCTCTGGAGGGATTTCCTCGCCTAGGTTCCTTGCCATCTCAGCAGCCGTCCAGAATGAGGGCAGCAACGTGGCGGGGTCAAAAGTGCAATTGAATACCTTCTCTTCAAGTGCACGCGGATCGAGCGCCATTGTGTTGTTGTATCTCGGTTCGGCGTGAAGAGGTGTCAAGTGAGACTTGAGATCGGGACACTGATGTTGGATGGGCCGCGTTACTGTCTATAAATCGCAGGGCGCCGAATGTTAGTGGAAGGTTGCAGCCTGTTCCGGGCTCTCGAGGTGGACGCGGGGTCTGTGGGCCAACAGCAAGCTTCAAGTCTCAGGCTGAAGAAGCGATGACGCAGGGGCCGCCCAACTTTGCAGCAATCAATTGCTGGGTATGGAAATTACCTAGGCCAAGAACGGCTAATGCCCCCAATTTTATCTCGCAATGGGATGATGGATCAACTCCATCCAACACCATTCCATTCCGAACAACACCAAGACGAAAAAGACATCCAACAAATGGCCCCGCGACGACCCTGGCTAGTAAGCCTGCCACCACAGCGCCTCCCTCTGACCCGGGCTCGACCAGCTCAACAACGCCAGTCCTCTTCCTCGTCCACACCACCATCGTCACGATCCCGAGAACAACAGCCCGACCCCTACCAGCTCCTCTCCACACCAACCTGGTCAATCCGCACCCTTCTCCCCAGCACAGAAGAACCCCCCTCCCAGGCCTCTTCATCCCCAAACAAAACAACAGGAGAACAAGAAGAAGACAGAATAAACCTCGCCCACCTCCTCCGCCTCTCCGCCCTGCCGCAACCCGCCTCGGCGCAAGAAACGTCGCGCATGCTGGCCACGCTGCGCGCCCAGCTGAAATTCGTACGCGACATCCAGCAGGTCAACACGGAGGGCGTGGCGCCGCTGCACTCCATACGCGACGAGACGGCGGAAGGGCGGCGCGAGGCGACCATCGACTTGTCGACTCCCCAGATCCAGGAGGCGCTAGCGCGCGAGGAGCAGTATGGGCGGTGGAAGAGGCCGAGGCGGAGAAAGTCCGGGGGTAGTAATGGGGATGCTTTGATCGTGAAGGAGCAGGAGCAGGAGGGCTGGGATGTGCTTGGGTCGGCGGCGAAAAAGGTCGGTAGGTACTTCGTTGTGCGAAGCGGGAAGAAAATAGAGGGAGCAGGGGATGGGTAGTGAATTCCTTGAGGGGATCAGACGAAAGACGGCGTCTGCTATAAGCGGGCGAGGGCGAGGTAGAACAATTCCGAAGGCGGGCTAAGGATTGAAGAGAACTGCGAAACTGGGGCGCATATACATCAGGCGCTAACAGGTATCGTGTTGCTATGCCTTGGTTTGTCTCTCCTCCATAGGACGCCCACTTGGGCTCAAATCAGATGCTAATGCTTTACGCCAAACAGGCAACATGGCGGCCTCCATAGCCTGCCGTTCGCCACGAAAATGCTATCTCAAGGACATGCTATCGCGTTCATAGACAACGCCGGTGATGTCGATCTCAGACGACCTCGTTCCTGCCGACCCGGCCACTCACTTCTTCTTTTTTCGCATCCGAGTGCGAATTATACCTTGCTCATGCTCTTTCCTGCCTTCTTCCACAGTGAACTTTCCCAATTCGAGCGCCTCCCGCCTCTGCTCAATTTTCCGGTTGCGATCCTCATAGCAGGACATGTCGGATTCATCCCTGGCAATCTGGTCGCTATCGATGTTCTCCCAGCCGATATGTCGCAGGATGGTGCCAGCGAGGTACTGGTATCGCGTGTGGATACTGATCTTAGCAGTAACGTCCACGTTCTCGACACCGTCAACCCCGGTGACGCGCTGCAGTCCGGCAATGCCAAACTCGATGCTGCTGGTTCGCGAGAGAAATCCCAGGAGGTAGTCGTTCTCGGAGTACACATTGACCAGGCGACCCGAGACGACCATCTTCATGACACACCACACGGTCGGGTCAGATGGGGCAGGCGTACCCATCATGACAGCGTTCTCAACCAGACCAAAAGCTCGCTTCTCAGCCAAAGCCATGAGGCAGGCATAGATAGCACGAGCGCCCAAGCTATAGCCGATCAGCGAAACACCCCGCTCGCCCTGTTGTCTGCTTATAATAACCTCGGCGAGAGCGGCGCCCAGTTTGTCAGCGCGAACCATGCCATTGTTCCAGTTGTTGTCAATGATCTTGCTAATTCTCACGAGACTTGTGGGCCAGCGTGCCTCTGACAGGCTGGTGACAACTGGTCCACGTTGGTTAGCTCTGTTTGCAGTGTGTCTTGGATGCCTGGAACGGAGCTCACTGGTCCGAGCAATGATTTCCTTCTTTGCCGTGGACCACGCCGCGCTCCTCAGGAGTGTCTCAAAAGAGTTGCCCAACTTGGTCAAAGCGTCGAGCTCCCAACGAACCGTATACACTTCACTATCCTGCCCCAGGAACCGCCAGGGTTTCGCCGACTCCTCCCTACTCGTCAGCCACCCGCTGATGCCCAGGGTGACTCGGAGACGGCGAGTGGCTGACGTGACTTTTCCCATCTCGGAGTCGCGGTCGATGGAGCCGCGGAGCGGAATGAAGGCGAAATCGGCAACATCCTTGAGATGGTGCTCCATCATCTTGCCCGTGGACCGTGAGCCGTACATACCGAACATCACGCCGACGACGACGCCATTCTCCGCCATCACTCCAAGTAGCCCCGACGCAGCCGTGCCACTGAGCCCCATGCCCCCGGGCACGGTCCCTATACCCGCTGCTACCAGTGGCTCGGCAAGACTGCCAGCTGCTCCCGTGACTGCTCCAGCAGCTATGCTCGCTTTCCACCTTCTAGCTGGCTTGCCATCTTCCGTCCTTTTCTGCGTCAAAGCCTCCGGCGGGATATCCTTGGCGATGCTGGACAGGCCTCCAGCCACGCGGACCTCGTCTTCAGCTAGCAGGCGAAGGGGCAGATGAAGCGAGGAGGCAATGTTCAGGAGGAGCACGCGGGTTAATGCGCCGTAGCTTTCAAGTGAGAGCAACAAGAGGAGGAGTGCATGGAGCAGCAGACATCTCTTCTCTGTCGGTAGCGAGGAAAGTGTGGTCGGGGTTGGAGGGTACAGTTGCTCGAAAACTGTATCGGTCTCCACGGTCGATGCAGCGGAAGCGGGCACTCTTAGCGCTGTGATGCAATCAGCAAGGTGATGAGCAGTGGGATACACCGGGCGATGTGATCTGCCGCACGTACCGCTTGACTTGTTCTTCCTGTGGGAGCCGGCGTCCCTCTTTGCTCCGGACAACTGCGACTGGCTTGCTTGAGCGTCGCCAATCTTCTTGACGGAAATGTCGGCGATTCTCTTCTGCACAGCCGCCTGCCACTTCTTATAGTGCTGCATGGCTTCCTTCTTGAGCTCCTGGAGCCCGGAACCGACTCCCGTTTCCTCGCTGGTAGCAGGGCTGGGATCAAGGCTGGTGGCGTGGCTAGGGTCGTGGACAGTATTGGACTTGCCTGCGGCCCGGCCCGCCTTCTTGGAGCGGGAAAGTTTGACATTTTCCTTGTGGTTTCCCCGTTTCTGGGCCCCGTTGCTCAAATTGTCTGGGTTGCTTAGGCTAAGATCTTCAAGGCGCGGCGGCAGTTTGCTCCAGAGGGCAATGCGCGATGGCTGGGCGCTATCATCGTCGATGCGGTCGGAGTCACATAGCTGTGTGACATGTTTCTGCATTGAATCCGTTAGCTTGTTGATGAGGGTCGTCAACTCAGTCTTCTCGCTTGAAGTCAGCAGCGAACTGAGATCGACTTCGCGCCCGGGCGGACTAGGCCGCCGCCTGCCTGCCGAAGACATATCTGCAGCAGTAGTGTCGATCGCTAGATGCTGTTCTGTTGGTGTTCTTGGGCTATTTGTTGCTGTTCTGTTGCTAGGGTCCGGCGAGGGCGGGGGAGTTGAGGGTTGTCCATGTTGAAGAAAGGAAAGAGCGGCCATCGTCTGGTGACCGCTATCTTTGAGTCAGAGACGAGAGGCACCGGCGCCGAGTTCCGCACTGCAGCCAATTACTGGAAGGACAGCCTGGATGTGTGCGGCGCCGCGGAAGCAATTTGAAAGAAAAGGAAGGCACGCGGCCCAAAAAGCACCTCAGGTCCGGAGACAGGACGGCGATGGTGACGGCAATGACCGTGGTCATTCTCTGATCCCAACTTCACCTTGTTTCGCCGTTCAGAAACAGCAAGATGCAACCACGACCACATACCCCATCGGCCCAGCTGTCTGTTTGCCAGACCTCGGTGCTGCTTGCCTTCTGTTGTAAGACTTGAGCTTCAATTTGACGTCACCTACTGAACTTCGACTGTGAGAATCGTGTCTTGCTGAGTTGCGTCTGTCTCCTGGCATTCAGAACTAGCTGGGCAGCGAAAGAAAGCCGCCTGGATGCGGTGAAGAGGAAGGTCAGAGGCAGCTGCAAAACGGCGAAAGGGGATGCAGTCAGGACTGTGACGGGAACACACCGGTAAAGGAAAGTGGTGTCTTGTAAGTCATGCCTTCTTCAGCGGCCTGGCAAGCAAAAAAGGCCAGCAAAGTGGCATTGGTGTTACCTTCTAAGGCAGTGCTCATGCGTACTAGAGGGAACATACATCTATACAACCCTGAACAACTTTATCTGGCGTTGAAATCAGTGGTGATTTAGTCCTCCGCATGAGCCCAACATGTCATCCCAACCTACACCACGGGAAGCAGCAGGAGTGACGCTCTCCACATCCTGTCCCCAGTGTTGCTTATTGGACAATTGGACATAGAGGGATACAAGTTGTTGATCTAGTTCATCTAAGTGTCAAACCCATCATCTGTTGGCACTGTATGTATGGTATACTAGATGCGATTCTTTTCCTTCTCATTATGTTCAGCATGCCTTAGAAAGCTCCTGTTCATGTAAGATCGACTGAGCGAATATTTTCACGCAGGCAAGATGGCTACCTACTGAGTTGGTTTGTCAAAAGCTGAAAGAATAAGCAGATGCATTGTATGTATAATTCCCAAGCATCGCACATCCTAGGTTACTGCACCATATTATAGTAAGATGTTGCTTAGCCGTCCGAAGACGTGGGTTATCTTTGTCATGTCTGCATGACATCTGAAAGGTGAGACCTGGAGACGTGCCGCGGTGCCGGCCGTTTGATGTGGAACCTGCCGGCAGACTCCCCTGTCTGGCCGGGGTCCTTCCAGAAGATCGGCCGTGGTTTCGGGATCGACGCCCCACTTCCATGTCCGTGCAATCGGAGGCTTGGGTTAAGTCCAGGGTTGGTGAAATCACGTCAACTCAAAACCTTCCACACGATTCCTCCATATTTGCCATTCCTAAGGCCCAACTTCCAGAACCTGCGCAGTACATGCCTACTTACAACGAATCTCAGCGCACTGTCAGAAGGCAAACACGCACATCAGTGATATTTAGACTCAAACAGTTCGCAGCGAAATCTGTAACCCGCATTTTTCCAACCCGCATGAACCACGCTCGACACAAGCACCAGTAGTGAATCCCAAATTCAAATCCACGATCTCGAGCGCGATCCCTGCGACAGGCAGTAGTAGCGAATCTAGAAGTAGTCTGAAGCCCTGAACGACAGCAATGGCGTCTCCAGCTCCACAGGCACTCCGCCAACAGCAACCCTCACAACGGTCAACCACCCAAACACAAACCACGACAGCCCAACAGACACAGACCCAGACACAAGCCATCCTCCGTCTACGCGGCGCGCACCCGCCAACAGGGCGGTCAGTTCAGTGGCGGTCAGACGTGGTGGACAATGAAGGGCTCGGCAGGAAGAAATCCAAGGGTAAGTTAGCGACCGTCCAATCCCTTCCGTGACCGACCGACCGGCTTGGTTTTTGATAGGCGCAAACAACAAACAAGGCGCAACGATTAGCTAACGACAACAACAAGTATGCTGCATCTACCACCGACCTCGGGGCGTAGACGAGTCAAGCGACGAGTCCTCGTCCTCGTCAGATTCGAGCTCCGATTCCGACTCGGACTCGGGCGCAAGAAAGGGTGACGCGGATAGGCAGGGGAAGGGGGATGATAAACACAGGCATAGGCATGGGCATGGGCATGACTGCGACGGACATCATCATGATCATGATCCTTCTCGCGGGAGGGAAAACGGAGGAGGGAGGAGTGACGAGGGCGCCAGCAAGAGGAGGAGACGGCCGAGTCCGAATGCGTACGAGAAGATGCCGAAGTACAATAAGGACAAGGACAAACCTCGTGAAGACGGGGACGGAAAGGGGAAGGGGAAAGAAGGGCCGCAGGGAGCGTAGACAGGGTTTCGGAACGGCGAATTGGGCGGATTAGGACTTGGACAGGCGACAGGTCTCTATACGACTGATGATCATATACCCGAGGTCTGTGATATGCGTTAGGCAAACCGCCATGATACCTTGCCATTGACCATTACCATTAGAAAGTCAAATAGTTTGACTGGAATTGAGGGCACTGTTGAGGACGGACACCAATGCATTGTCCAGTGGTTCGCCAGGCATCTTCCACTTCCAGGACTTAATACGGAGTCAAGGCCACTCCTATTGCCCCGGTATCTTTGTCTCACATGATTCCATCCACCCACATTCCTTGCTCACTCACCAGATACATGATGACACTCATACACATACACGATTACACTCATACACGCTGCCCTTTCCCTTTCTCCCTTCCTGCCGTATCCTATGGCAGAGCACTCAAAACTTGAACGAAATTCAATGCCCATTCTGCAGCTGACTACTCATTTTACTATGTGCGTATGTATGTTATGTATGCCTGTCCTGCCTAGTACCAGCCTGCTATGCCGCTTTTCATTTGATCCACAACTCCCGGAATGTCCTCAAGGTAGAGAAAGGAGGGAGGACCAACTAAAAAGCGAGCGAAAGAACAAGAAACTGAAAACAGAGGATTACAATACTTATCCTACAATTACACCGTTATCCTGCCCGTCAGCCCATCTGAAGATGAACCAACCAATACTCGCTGACCGACCAATTGGGGGATTAGGACTGGTCTGGTCTGGTCGTTCATAAATTTTCTCTCTTCCCCCCATAGCCCTCGAAACCTGCCATTATCAAATCTTAGATTTAGATAACAGAGCGTGAGAGACATCCAACCCGACATCCAATATGCCCACAGAACAGTCACACACACAAATAGCCCCTCTTACTCCTCCTTCTCGATCAATCCCGGCTCGGCCCAACCAGACCAAAGCCAACCAGAGAAGAGAGTCGGTCTCAGATTGAATCAAGGGACACTGAAATCCGCCGTGGGTGGTCCGAGCATACTAGCGACCTGCTTCCGAATCAACTTCCTCGTCTTGCCGCCTTGCTCGGGCCGGGGCACGCCTTGAATCGCGCGGGGCTCCTTCATCAGGGACGGATCGAGCTTGAGTGGCACGCGCGTGACGACGGATCTGTAGTCGCCGGGGAACTTGGCCGACGATGGCACGGGTACCGAAGCGGTGCGCCAGATGTGGTCCGTCGTATCGCTGAGGTAGCTGGGTATCTTTGCCGGGTGGCGGGAGGAGGCCGAGGCGGGTGCGAAGCCGCCGCCGCCGCCGAAGCCCATACTCATGCCTGGAGACGCGCCATGCGAGACCCGCAGCGTTGACAGGCGGGACAGGCCCGCTGAAAACGCCGGACGACCTCGGGCCTTCTTTGCTAGGATGATCTCGTCAAACAGTCGGATTGACGGATCTGTAGCTGGGTGGCGCTCCCGCTCGTGGATGAATTCATTAAAGGCTTTTGAGTGGAGAGGCAGGTTAGCAATGGGTACTATGAGAAGATGAAGAGGGCGAGGAGGGCGGTTTCTTACCTTGTGTATCCCTCATCATCGTGGCGTACTCCTGTTGGTCGTAGGGCAGGCTCCGGATGAACCCATCCATGTCAAAGGAGTACAATTGACCGTTGGCCTTTTGTTCCCTAGTCGGCCGGCCGAGGTGCTTCCGATATGTGTATAGGAGGCTGGCCAGGCAGCGGACAAACGCTGCTCGAACACGCTCCGCGTGGAAAGCCTCTGGGCACACCAGGGACACGAAGCCAAGGCACCTGTTGTGAGCTAGGCAGTTACACCCGCTGCACTTGTAGAGACCATCTCCTTCAGATCGCTCCTCGCAGATGGTGCAAGACGAGTCGACCTCGGACGTCCTCCAATTGAAGCAGTGACCCTCCACCCAGACGGTGTTTTCCGTGTTGTGCACCGGCTGCACCACCATGTTTGGCATGATAGTCGAGGCTGCGATGGTTGACTGGGCATATGTCGAGGGCGCATACCCTCCGAACGAGGGGCTGGATTCAATCGATATCGATGATATCGACAGATTCTGGCTGTGCCCGTTAAGGAAAGGCAAGCTTGGACGGTGCGCCATGGAAGGGTGATGTTTATCCATTCCAAACGACGAGCTGCGCCTGGACTTCTCATCGAAATGTCCTGACCGCTTCTCTCGAAGAGTTGCGGCAAACCCAGAGTCGCTACGTGACACGGGAGTCGTAGGCATCGGCGGGAAGTGCATCGAGATAGGAGACACGGAGGAAGGGGGGCTTCCCTTGCTCGACTTTGAAGTCGTTGGCCGATCGGCCTTGGTGTGGTCGACCTTCGCCTGAGCAAAGGCGTTGAAGATGGGTGTGCGAGCGGAGCCGGGCACATTCGGTTCGCCAAATGTAGTTGAGTTTTGTGTTACCCACTTGCCCAGCGAGCTCGGCATCGGGGTCGGGTTGAATAGCGCTTCATTCTCGGCTGAAAAGGCATCATACGGGAATGCTTCCATCGCATAAGGAGGTGGCCCTGCGGCGACGCCGTAGCTGAGACGGTGTGGCGCGGCCACCTGTAGAAGGGAAAGAAGCTTTCGCCGGTGCTGTCTCGGCAAGCTGACGGGCTGCGCCGTGGCGTCGATGCTGTCCTTATCGAGGTCTACGAGGACATAATCGTCTTCTGGAAGCTCAATCTTCTCATACCGCCTCTCCACCCCAACAATGTAAGGGCACGGTGCCTCGAGAGCCGATATCAACCGAGAGGGCAGTATGGGGATGAATATGCTCGCCCATTTCAGGGGGTATAGCAGATTAACCAACGCATGACAGGCCAGATGCAACATGCCGGTGTGGGATGAAAGGAAGATGATGCGTGCCTCAGACATTGCGTACTCAAACAGGAGCACAATGTTCTCCAGAGACAAACACCTGAAGAGGGCGTAGATGTCGATGCTCCGCGAGCCCGGGAGCTCGTTGGCCGCCTCCTTACGGGCATATAGCCGAAGCTCTCGAACCCCCAGCTCAACCTGGGTTAAAGAGCTCAAAGGGCTGAAAGCCTCTGTGCATAGGTTGATGACGTAGCGCTCCAAGGGTTGCCATCGCCCTACTTTGGGGGAGCTTGGAGGAATCCGCAACACAGCTCCGTCCGTCATGGGCACTACAACCGCCCTGAGCCACTCCTTCCAAAAGGCCATCTTGGAGGCGTCTCTACCAAGTATTCCAAAGGCTCGGGGGGTCCAGAGACCCGTCTCACCGGCCGTTAAGCCATCAATCTTGGACGCCGCGCCATGTCTGAGAGGCCGCAACATCTCTGTCATGAGTGCAATTTTCTCCTCCACAGCACTGATTTGCTCGTCCAGAGACTCTCGGGCAGTCGTCCCAGAGGGCACCGTCGGCAGTCTCGCCAGCAGCTGAGACAGATGAGCTCGCTCCGCCGCAAGGCGGCCGCCCAAACTCGCAGCGAGCTCCCTTTCCTCGTTGCTCATGTGTCGCTGCCGCCACCTTTCGCAACGCTTCTCAACCTCGTCGGCCACTTCGGCGTTTAGCGCAGTCCAAACAATCACGGTGATGCCGTAGATCTTGGAATTATCGTCCGAGGTCATGGTAAACCCATGCCAGGTGGTGCGAGGGCGGTCATCCGACGACACGATCTGGATGTCGTTGGGGAAAGCGAACATGGGAACGTAGTCTGGAAATTTGCCCCTCCTGGCCAGCTCTTCGGCCGAGGCGTCCCGCTGGGGATACCTGTCGAGTAATACGGGCTCGAACCGCCTCTTGAGCGGATGCATATCAGGGTCGGTATTCAACGGCTCTGGGGGTGGGATCACCGAGTTGTAGTTGCTCAGACGTTTCGCCGTGCGGACGGAAGCTGAGGACTCGACTTGTAAGCATGGGAAACGGCAGGGATAACGTTACACTACCCCAGGAAACTGGACGTACCTGCTCTGGGAGGCATTGGCTGCTTCCTCGCACTGCTCATATCCCTAAAGCTCATCTTGCGACGGATGCTGCCACGAATGCTCTTAAGAGGGCTCATCAACCCGCTCTGATCAGCATCTTCGACTTTCAACTTTTCGGTCCTCGGATTGACCATTGGGGGTCTCGACTGGATCTTTGCGCCGGCGCTGAAGGTCAAGTCGTCCAGGAAATTCTCTCGCTCGGCCGCGAACTTGAGAAGGGCCTTGTCAAAGTCGAAATCTGCAGGAAGACCGTCGAAGCCAATGCCCTCCCCACCAACAATGGAATTGGTTCCATTGGTACCGTTGATACCATTGGTCCCGCCGTTGCCGAAATTGGGCGGAGGTATAGGCCGGATAGTGGCACTGCTGCGGTTGCTTCTGGTGTTGCCATCAACATCATCCAGAACCCGGCTCTCGCCGCTGGACACCGAGATCTTGGATATTGCGGAGAAGCGATTAGCGGAGTTTTGGCGAGAATGGCGGGCCGTGGCACGTGGCGGAGACGCTACCGAGGCATCGGCCGCTTCTCCTTCCCGATCTTCGACGATGGTGTCGTCCAGCTGAGAGGCGGCATTATCGTAGGAGCTTAAGCCATCGTCATACGAGATATTCTCTATTCCGGCAATCCAGAAGTAGTCGGCGAGCGGCGTCGAAGAGTTATCCATGGCACATCGCTTTCCGGTGGACGATTGTTTCTCCGTTTCTCCGCCTGCTTTGAGCGCTTCCTGTTCCTGTCCTTGTAATGCCGAACTACCAATTTCTCTACCAGATCGATTATACTCGAGTTTCGAGCCGTTGCTGGTGGCCGAGAGTACCGACAGAATCGCTTTGCAGATATTCAAATCCTGCAAATGGGGTCGGTGAGCTCGAACTGCGAGACTGCAGGGCAAAACCAATATTCTGTTTGGGGACGGCGGGGGCCAGAGACAATGGTCTCCGCCCGTTATTCACAGCTATTGCCAAAGCAGAAGCCTTGAAAACCGGTTCGCTGGTGTCAGGCCGGGAGTTGTTCCGTCGTTAAGGTAGCCAGAGCAGGCGGTGGCGTGAGTGAAGCTTCGAGGACGTTTGGAGTGTCTAGCTTTAGAAGTTCTGATGCAAGAAGTCCCTGGTTGCGGCGGGGACTTGTTCAGCTGGCCCTTTGGAGTCTCAGATGCGGAAGTAGCTCAGAAGACCAGTGTGGGGAGCACAGTTGAGGTTGTCGTGAAAGCATACTTTTTCTCTCTTGTCGTTTCGACCGCCTGCCCTCTCTGCCCTTTCGGGGATCTGCATTTAGGCCTAACGCTAACCCTTGGCGTCGTAACTGGACACTAACCTACACTACACTAGCGTAGTGCAATTGATGAGCTGCTGCATGAGGCGCGGCGTCCCTTTCGAGCCCCTGCATCCCTAGCTTTGTCGTACTGGGCCCCGACCGCCAGGGTATGTCCGCATGGGACAAACCTGGAAACCGAACTTCCAACTGATAACTTACCAGCGCCCGAATTTCTGCATTCATTATCCAAAACCTAACTTAGATTTCACTTCGCTATAACGTTACAGATGACCAGTGGGCATTCTAGATGGAATATGTCTGTTATCCATGTTCAGATACGTCTTCTACCTTTACAATGCTGGCTTTGCTAGCTCCTGCCCTTACGCTAGTGTAGTCTCGGTATTCCACTGGGCGGGTCAGGTTTGTGTGAAATCGGGGAGTTCCACCGAGTGGTACCGACTGGGTAATCAAGGATAGCATGTCTGGAGCCACTGCATACCGAGACCGTCTGGAGGTCTGGAGGTGAGAAGATCCCTGGAGAGGGCTTCTGTCGTTGGCCATCAGCTTCGGATCTTGACCCACAGCGACTCAGTCCACTGTCGGATCTTGAGAGACCGGATGGGATACGTGCATGTGTTCTAACTAGTATCCGGCTGGAAGCATCAACGATTCCTACCTTATTGCTGCCCGTACCTGAGCCTGGCTGCCGCGGCTTTATTCCGGTATCCTCAGACATGCGGTTGTTTAACTTTTTAATCTTTCGATTTCAGGCGGTTCCCAACACGAGGCCGTCATGGAGGGACCAAACGATATGGGGGGCATCATGGAAGGGATCCCCCGGTACCCCGAAACAGTACGACTGTTGTCGATCGATGCAGAGGCAAAAGGGAGATTGGGGGTCCAGCGAACAGCTCTCTCGGTAATTGGTCCTCTTTGTTTCTCTCACTATGTACTCTAGCGTAGTGGTTGATTTCAGCCCTTCTGGCTTTTCCTGTTGTTGCAGATGACGCTCTCTCATCAAGCAGCGTCGTCTACTTCGTTCGTCTCTAGCTAGAATCGTGCAGTCCGTAATCTGCACGTCTTTCCAAGGCAAAATCCGTTATGGCTGTTATGGCTGCGCATCTGTGCAGCTGAAGTGGTGTCCATCCTTGCCGCAAGCGCACGCCTGATAAGCTGTGCATTGTGGGACACAGGCAAAGAATGCAGGCGACATGGTTAAAATCCCGCTGTCTCGACAGAGTCGACGGTTGCGTGCCACATGGCAGTTCGATAGCCCTCCGATGCCTTCCATGTTGTCAAAAATCGGGTTAGAGCACGAAAGAATTACGGCGCGTCGGGAACATTTAGATGATAATTTCGTTTCTGCTTTGGTCGTTCGTTGTTTGGATTCCGAATTGTTGGTATATGTGCTGCCCATTGAGGTATGAATTCCGTAGTTATTCGAGATTTCCGATTGCCATTTCTCCTCTCCTCTCAAGCCACACTTGATGCATCTCGTCCCTGGCCGTATCAAACTGCAGCAGATGCAACGAGCTATATCCGTATACATAATCGCTCCAGTCGACAACGGTACCGATACCATTGTAGCCTTGCCTCTGCCGTCTCTCCGCCTATCTGGCTTCGGACGGGTGAAGGAAGGCCAATTGCACTTGGCTATGGGAGCCTGCAAATTGAATCCACATACATACGTATATCAGGACGTAGTGGGAGTGCAGTGTCGCCTTAGGTGCCTCTGGGCACGTGGGGAGAGAGTTCCACGTCCCCAGATTCGCGGCCTTGGGTTTCTGTTTAAGTTCCGCATGCATCACGGTCCGGAGGTATATAAGGTGAGGGAATATTGACAGCAATAGCCACGGGTGCCTGGCAGTTTGTTGTTGATCATCTTGACGGATGGAAAGGTGCATGACAAATTTGTTGCCAGGGCGCTCAAAATATCAACTCCTGCTCATGAGGACGCACTTGTATCTCCATTAGTAGTCCGTACTTGCACAGAGTGAGGTTGTACCTGCCTTATGCAGGGGTATTCCTAAAGAGGAAATTTCCCATGTTAGTGGTTCAGACTCTTCGGCAACTCCCAGTCGACGCTGCCAAGTGCTCAACTTCTGCCATGGGTAGTAAGGTAATTGCCTTACCTTACTGTGGTAGGCAGGCGGTTGCACTCTTACACCCATCGTAGATTAGATTCTGGTGACTTGGTACCTCTCGATCATCAACTCGGCGAAAGTTAACAACCAACCCGGAAGACTTATGTGTGAATCAGACGCGGCAGCGGCAGCACGCATTCATACCACAACATTGCCCAGACGGCACAGAAGGTTGGAACCCGTCCGTCGCCGCAATTACGGACCCGGTTCTCTGCTGACCCTGTCCTTGCTCTGGGTGTCTTAGTGGCATCTGCTATAACCGGCGGCACTTTATTGGCACCGTGACGCTGTCTTCACAACCCGGTAAAAGGAGGATCGACGACCGGATGCATCGATGACTCTGCCTCGGGCGGCAGGGATCTGTAGAAGTAACCGATCAAAACACACGGGCCCGAGTTGATCTCTTCGCTGGAAGAAGTGATGTTCCATGGAGCATTGCCCCTGATATTTCGGGTATAATAAAAATGTATGTGAAGGGACCAACTATATCGGGTGACCTCTGTTTGAGACGGCGGCTAAGCTCAGATGTCCCGATAGTCTGGTAGAGGACAGGCGACACACGCTCCGAGATGCAGCCAACGTGATGCAGAGCTAATCAAACCCAGCCGCCTCCACAATCAAGTATTGGTGTCTAGCATCTAGGTTTCCAAGGACCTCACGAAAATGACTGGAATATCGTGTCTGCTATGACAACCAACATGAGGGCTGCTCCTGTTCTTGATTCCTCGTAGGTAAAAGAATGCCAAAGTCATAAAAACAAGTAGCAGCCGTGGGTCCTTTAGATGCCTATTGAACGCCCGGTGCAACTACACATCCACGCGCGGTGCAATTACACATCCTCTGTCCCCTTTCGTCTTCCCCTTCGAGAAGAAAATGTTGACCAGGAGGCCAGGAAACCAGTAGTCAGACGCAAGAAAGACTTAGAGCTAGCCATGTAAAACTAGAACATGATCGCATCTAGCAATCCGCCAGCTCCGTACCCTGGTATCTCCATATATACCGAGCCCCTTGCCTTCTAAGCTGGCCGGTTCCCTCCTTCTATGTCCCGATCCTCGGCGTCTCTTTGCCGAACCGGGTGCCCAGCTTCCCTGTGGACAGAAACCCCCTATTCCCCATCTCACTTCGCCAACCAATCTGCAGCACCCCAAAGACAACCCTCCCATCGAGCTGCTCCACCGCCTTCCCATTCTCCTCCTCCTCCACGACAAAACAGACCTGTTCCGTTTCGCCGGGAAGCAGCACCGGCTTGGTCGCTCCGGCACCCCTCATACCGTCACCCCCACCACCCCCACCACCATCATCACTATTCAAGGTGCCATTACAATCCTGACAATTGAGACCAGCCTCGAGTTCCAAACCAACTCGCTCCAAAAGCATCCACTCCTCGCTGCAATTCTCGAGCTGGGCCTCCAGCACCCACCGCCTCTGGCCGCCCCCGGGATGCCGGGCCGCCAGCGTCCCGGGTTTTGTGCGCACAATGAGCGACGGCTTGCAGATGAACTGGTACAGCTTGCGGAAGGTGCGGGTGCGGCCCGACAGCGCCGACGCCTCGTAGTACGACACGGTCACGGCCAGCACGTGGTTGCCTTCCTCCTTGAGGTCGAAGGTGAGGATTTTTTGGAGGGTGGAACTCGCGTCGCCGGCCGGGATTAGATCCGTGCCGCCGCCGCCGGTCGTGTTGTTGTTGCTGTTTTCGGCACCGGCCTCCTGATGCGCCGCGGCCGCGGGGAGGAGGTCGAGCTTGATGGGCGTTGCGGAGCTCGGCGTCTTCATCTCGGCCTCAATCCGCACGTCGCGGATGGTCTTGGGTATGGGCGCCGAGGCGCCGTCGGCGGTCGGCGGGATGTCATGGTTTGCGCAAAGGGTGCAGCTGAAAGTCTCGCCTACGTAGGCTGATCCGAAGGAGGGCGGGAGGTTGAGGATGGGGCTTAGGATAAAAGGTTCGGGGTTTGTTGAGGTAGCCTTGCTGTTTGGTCTGTAGGCGAGGGAGGCTGGGATGGGAGGTGGGTGAGTGCCGGGAGAGGAGAAGGGCGGTTGGACTGGGTACTGGACAACGAGCGATGGTCGCGACAGGCTGCGCGTCGTCCGGTTAGCATTAAAAATGTGAGGAGGATTGGCGCTAAGAGAAGCTCACCGGAGGACCTTGAGGGATACCGAGTGTGGCTCCTTGACCACATCATGGGATGGGTATCTTTGGTGGCTCATTGTGGGCGACCATGGCGATGCCGATGGCGGGGCCAAGAAGCGACAGTCGGAGGACAGCGGTGCATGAAACCCCACATTAGAGGCCCGGCTCGCTCACTGCAGCACGGACCCGAGCCGGGATCTAAACGTTACGCTACTAAGTCTCTAACCCCTGGCGCATCATCAACACAATTGCCGGGAACACGAAAGTCGCAGGTAAGGGGTCTTCAGCCGTCACAACCACACGATATAAAACATATATATGAAAATCAATTGCTGCCAGAAAGGTAGAGTATCTTACTCCCCAAGAGATTGCGGATTCAGCTGTTTGTGGGGATCAAGGGGCTAGAGCCGTGGCTATAGACACTCGACGCACCCCGCCTCCACAATAGATATTCCGCTTGCTGGAAGAGGGCCGAGACTATTCTCAGCCGCTGAACATGTAACATCGGCCTTGTTTTGGGGATCGGGCAAGCCCTCTCCACCCCGTGCCTTGTCAAAGCTCAAGACCGCACTCAATGCGAAGCTAATTCCCTTTTCCCTTGCTGTCCCAGGTAATTCGAGTTTGGCAGAGGACCTCCCGCAAATCGAAAATAGTCATCAGAGTCCGGGTGGCGGAGGGACCTAAGAGCAGTTAGACACGAACAATAGAGGTGGGTTCGAGCGCGCACGTACCGCACTGTATCCGCCCGCTCCCGGAGGCCCGCTGGGGGGAGGCGGCGGGGGGGCAGCAGAGGGTGGCGGAGGTGGTGCAGCCTCACTCGGAGGAGGGGGCGGAGGAGATGCCGAAGCACCGGGTGCGCCGGCAGCGGTTGCTTGGCCACCTTGGGAAGCCACCCACTGCTGATACATCTGGACATATGCTTGGTAGCCGCCATATGCTGCATAAGGATCGGTGCCGTAGTACTGGGCGTACTGGGCGGCGTAGTCTGCCGCTGACACAGGAGTGGTAGTCGCCGACGGCGGTGTCGCAGATGAGTTGGCTCCCGGAGCAGGAGAATTGCTGTAGCTGTGGCTGCTGTTTTGATGGTGGCTATCCCTGTTGTATCCATGGTAGGAGTCGCCACCACCGCGGCCACCAAAGCCTCCACCACCATAGCTGCGGGGCGGGCGACTCTTGAACTCCTCATACTGTTCTCTAACATTGGCAAGGAGGTCCTCGCAAAGCTCTTTGGCTTTCTCAACCATTTTCGGATCCGGGCCTCTGGGCAGAGTTAGCAAGCAACGCGGCATCCTGACGATGTCAAAACATACGCAACATGCAAAAACATGTCCTCGTCACTCTCGCGGCCCGTAGATGCTTCCATGTAACCGGAGCCGCGGCCTTTGATTTGCACACGGCAACCAGTCTCCTGCTGAATGTGCTTGACATAGGCGCCGCCATGTCCCACAACCTGGGCACGAAGGTTGAAGCCAGGGACTGACTCAAGGCCGATTGGAATCTTCTCCTCGGGCCATTTGCGCTGTTCACAGTTAGACACTATGAGAGGTGACCGCGTAGTTTCTGCTTACCCGGCCAAACTCGTCCCGCTCTACTTGCTGCTGCTCCTGATCTCGACGGCGGAAGCGTCGCTCATCAACTAACTGCGGGAGTTCCTGCTTCATCAGCTCCTCAATCTTAGCGACGGCTTTTTCCAGCCCTTCTTTCGTCGTGCTCGTAACGTGGAGATAGAGAGGCGGGTTCTGAAGCGCCGTGTCAGCTCTGATCGACAGGGACGGGTCTGTTTTGAGACATACCGCTGGCGTAGCCATGTTCTTGTCCGGGTAGTAGCTTCCGCGAGTTGTGACATCTTGGAGAAGAAACTAGTCAATCGGCGTTCTCTACACAGCAGTTGAAGTGTTAAGGTTCGGCGTACCAGCACCAGTCTCTTCTTTAATCTAGATCAAGCAGCCGAGGTCAGCAGATGCAAACGTGGGATTGCCTGTGCGAACTATCATGCTTCGAGTAAGCAAGACTGTCCCGCACAAGAACGTCATGGAGCGTAGCCATTAGTGGCAGAGTAAGGGAGCTGACGATGAATCAGTGTGATAACAACCAAGGAGTAATTTACCATTTTCTGCGTTGCGCCCTTGGTTAGGAGATAGCGGTTGCGCAGGTCATTGACCTCGATGTCCTTGATGTAGTCGCCATCCGCGATGTACATCTCACCGTTGATGTTTGCGCCCGAGTGGGATCCCGTGTTGCTGGAGACAGAGCTTGCTCGAACGGGCGGCACGTCGACATGCTGGATACCCTTGCGGGCTTGAAGTTGCGCATTGATCCTGGCAGCAGCAGCAGCTAAGACACAACGTTAACAAACGCTCACCACATCATATACAGTCAGGAACCCGAGGGAAAGGATATCTGTCTTACCAGCCGCTGCCGCGGGGTCGATGGGGGACTTGGAACTAGCGGGCTCGCTATCACGAGACCGGGAAATAGGGCTGCGCTCGCGATCACGGCCAGAGTCAGGCTTGCGTGCGGGCGGGGAACGCGATCGACGGTCAAACCGAGAGGCACGCTTAGTTTCCGGTTCGGTTTGATCGAAACGGGACCGCTTCGTGCTGCGTCGCTCGGCGTCGTCCATTGCACGCAGTCAACCGAGACAAAACAGCGGAGCTAATTAGTAACGATCAACGCGCTGACAGATGGCGACGGTGACAAGACAAGCCGTGTCTGTCTGCGATAGAGTGCCAGGATGATTTCTGCAGAAAGCGACAAAGGCTTTCAACCTTGGGAATAAGGTAAGAGCCCAGCAATTTGGACCAGTCTCTCAAAGGTTTCTGCGAATGGAAACGCAGCGTACTGTAGAAAAATCCACAAGGCTCACGGAACTTGAAGTGGGTCGTACAGTACAGGAGTCCGTGTGAATAGATTTTATACGGTGTCGGGGGACCCGGTTGAACTTCACGTTGAAGTTCAGGTTGAAGTTCAGGTTCTTTCAGGCCGAGATCAAAGTGATCAGACATCCACGTGCTTCACGTCTATCCACCTCCATTAAAGAGATTACGGAGATTTTTGTCCCATTTCTGGTGCAACAAGACAACAACTTGTCACTTGGCAGCTCTCACTGCGTCCACCACCGGATTCGGAAGGGCATTTCCTGGGAGAGCCGCACGGACGTGGATTTTAGCACCACTGGCAGCGAATTGGCCAATGCGGTTCGCCTCCACACCTTCCATCTCACGGTGTGCAGGCAGGCCGGACCGGTCCGAAACTTTTTCCCCAGCTTCTCCTGACAGTGACTCAAATTCGGGCATCCGCTTCTCATTAATACCCGGCAGATCCAACGTTACTGGAGAGCCAGCAATTGGGATCAGAGTGTGTCCCCATTAGAAGACAGGCCTTCTCGGCCTAGCAACAAATTCCCCAGAACATGGCATCTCGCAGCCTCTTCGCATCCTCGTCGTCATGGCGCAGGATAGCGACGCAGGCTCGAGATGTCCCCCGGTCCCTATCGATCAGCGTCCGACACAGCTCCAGCCATAGCAGCTCGACCTCGGCTATCGCCTACAAGGCAATTCGTCGCCGGCAAGCACCTCTCCCCGTCAGCGACCAGCCGCCCTCGTGGTCAGCCCAGGCGGCTGTTTCCAACATCCTCTACGAGACTCCGTCTCCGTCGGCAGCCCCTCCGAAGCGGCATGTGCTCAATTGCCTCGTCCAAAACGAGCCCGGTGTACTCTCGCGCGTCTCAGGTATCCTGGCCGCCCGGGGCTTTAACATCGACTCGCTGGTCGTGTGCAGCACCGAGGTAGAAGACCTGTCGCGCATGACGATTGTGCTCACGGGTCAGGATGGAGTCGTCGAGCAAGCCCGCCGGCAACTCGAGGACCTCGTTCCGGTTTGGGCTGTCCTCGACTACACAAACTCTGCCTTGGTGCAGCGCGAGCTGCTTCTGGCCAAGATCAACATCCTTGGGCCGGAGTATTTTGAGGAATTGCTCGCACACCACCGGGAAATCACGGCCGACGGAACCGAAGAGGAGAACGGCCAGGAGGCTAGTAAGCCCAGCCTGGAGGAGGCTGCCAACGACTTCCACCCCAGCCGGTTGGCTGCTAGCCAGGCACTTCGTCTCAAGCACGAGCACCTGAAGAACATCACCTACTTTACTCACCAGTTCGGCGGCAAGGTTCTGGACATTAGCACTAATAGTTGCATTGTCGAGGTGTAAGTTTGCAATCATTACATCTCTGCTCTCTGACAAGTGCTCACATTTTCTCTTAGCTCTGCGAAACCCTCCAGGATAGACTCGTTCCTCAAGCTCATTGCTCCTTTCGGCATCCTTGAATCTGCTCGCACCGGGTTGATGGCGCTGCCAAGATCCCCTCTATACGGGCCTGATGAGGATACCCACGTCAAGGATGCCGATGAAGTTGTCGACGCCAGCCAGCTTCCCCCGGGTTAATAGCATAGGTCCGCAAGGAATTGTAGATGGGTTGTCCAGGTACTAAAATATAGATATCTGGTTGCGGCACAATCGAAACAGTCAATTATCCGACTTCATCAATTATATTTGTTGGTATTTGTGTTCGTATTTGCGGTTGGTATCTGAACTTTTGAGTGCCTACGCCTAAAGCACGCCTGCTTGTATGCTGACGCATTATGTCGCCAAAGAAGCAATAGCCAATCCGCATCATAGAATCTTGCCCTTGTTGACCACGAACGCCTCTAGAGCAGCTGTATGGAGAACGTTAGCACTCATTCAGTTTCGTGTGCCGCAGAAAGGTACATACCAACAGCAGCCCAGAGCCTGTTCTCGGCCTCCGGGAAGACGAGGGATCGCGGGCCGTAAAAGACCTCATCATCGACTTCCTCGGGGTGCCTAGGCAGGCAGTGCATGAACTTCCAGTCCGGCTTCGCCCCGCCCCGCTTAGCCAGCTCGTTCGTAATCTGGTAGCCGGCAAACGCCTTCAACCGCTTCTGCTTCTCCGCCTCCTGGCCCATAGACACCCACGTGTCGGTAACGAGTATGTCGGCGTCCTTGACGGCCTCCTCGGGTACCGTCGTCTCAATCAGCTTGCCAGGCTTAGCAGCGCCCGTTGCCGCCCCAAGGATCAACTTCCTCATGGACTCGGGAATGCCGTAGCCTTCGGGCGAAGCAACCGCGATGTCGACGCCCATCTTGACGCAGCCGATGGCGAGGTCGAAGAGCACGTTGTTGGAATCCCCAACCCACGCCACTTTGAGCCCTTCAAGACCCAGACTGGACTCGCTCGGCGTCCGAGCCGGGAAGTTCTCGTGGATGGTCTGGAAGTCGGCAATGGTTTGGAGTGGATGGAAGTCGCTCGACAGGGCATTGATGACGGGCACAGAGGAGTGTGCGGCCAGGTCGGCGACCTCCTGGTGTGCGCCTACACGGGCGACCATGCACGAAGTCATTGAGGAGATGACTACGGACGTGTCGTAGAGAGACTCATTGACCTATTGGTCATGTTAGTCAGGCGAACGGAGCGGTTAGGAGAAAGATGACGGCGTACGCCAAGTTGGATATCATCCTTGCCCAGGAACATTGGATGGCCACCCATTAATTGTACTGCTGCTTCCGTTGACACGCGGGTCCTGGTGCTGCGCTTGCTGAACATCATAGCCACCGTCTTGCCTGTCAGGGCACCGTGCAGCGGTTTCGGCGGCACTTGGTTTGCGCCGAAAGCGGCCTTGACGGCGGCCTTGTGAGAAGAGGCATTGAGAACGAGTCTGGTGAATTCGGCTGGACTCAGATCGCCAATGGACAGCAGATGCCTCGGCCCGGAGGCGCTAGAGAGCGGGCGAGTCTGGATGTGATTCATGGCTAATCTGAGGGTGCGGAAAGCGAACGGCGGCATCGCGGCGGTGAGGAGCAATGTATGAATGAGTGGCCGATATGAAATTTTTGGCAGGACGGCCCAATCTTGGTTAGCTTTCAGGCCTCAAGTGCCAATTATGTCTCTGATCGGCCCAGATAGCGAACTCGCGGAATCACCTCTATTCTGGAGCGGGCCCTCAGTTGATATGTCGATCAAAGTCGTGAGTCAGTCGACTTTAGAGCATCAGATAAGGAGTCACACCAACCTTAACGGCTTGAGTGGACAGAAGTGGAGAGAATGGCTGGTACTCGATGTTGCTATGATCTATCAGTTGCGAATTTTCCGAATTGGTCCAACTAGAAGCCCTGAGACATACGTACAGCCAGTTGCAAGAGACGGTACACCACCTTACTCAATGCTGCGATTGGCTATGCAATCATGGAATTGAGCGTTAGAAAGCTGTAAACAACCTGGTGTTGCCCTTGCCTGGTTGGCGATGGATCGCCTAAATCGGAGCCATGTCACCAGGGTACCTAGGTGTGCATTGTTGTGGGTAAAGCTGACGAATCGGGTGTGATCGATTGGACCGTCCCTTCCCCAATCCGGGGATCAGGACGTGCTCCTGGCCCCAGCTTCTCCAGCCAATGAACGCTGATGCCCTTCACGGAAGAAGCCACAGCGGCACATGGCATCCAAGCCGGGCCAAGTTAGCGTTGATTGGTCTGACCCAGTCCTTTGTTTCGTCAAACAGAAGTCTGGTCACTGTCCTGCAACTTGCAACTGGCCTCCTCCCAACTCAGCCTTATTCAAAGAGCCAACGTTGTTGATTATCCTCAATCACCCTCGAGCAGTCCTGTAACTAACCGTTTCAATCCTTGACAAACATCTTCGACCATAGCATATCAAACCTATCTTCTGGTGATACGGTCACATCACGCTATCACTGTTATGTCATAGGCCAGGGGTGACTGCTTCGCCGCGGCTGTCCGCTCCAGGGTGCACAATCCATCCATTCCATTTCTCACGACGACTGCAAAACCGGTCAAATGTCCGATTCCGAGAGATCGCCGCTTCTCTCGGCTTCCGAGAGCCTCAACACCGCCAATACCGCCAACGACCGTCCAGACAAAGATCCCGCTGAGTCGACTCCGTTATTATCGAGCTCGGCCGCAACACCACGCTATGATGGCGCAGACGATGATTATCCAGCTGCCGATGCCGGTTCCGTTGCATCTCACGATACATCTCCAGTATCCGTCAAGTCTCCAAAATCGAAATCATTACGATGGCCGTCCCTCATTGCCGTGCTCGTTTTGTCACTCTCTGGGGTGGCTATCATAATTCTCGCCTTCTTTGTTCCCGCCGCCGTCGAGGAATATGCAAAGAAGGCAACCGTCATTGAGCCCACTAATCTGTCACTCGTGTCCATCACAACGAATGGTGTCCGTGCGCGTATCCAGGCGAATCTCCGCTTAGACGCACAGCGGGTGGACAACGAACATGTTAGGCGATTAGGTCAGGCGGCTACCTGGCTGGTAGGGGAGCTTGGGACAGAGGAGACCAAGATCAATGTGTATCTGCCCGAGTACGACAACATATTGCTCGCCACGGCCGGCGTTCCCCCCCTGACAGTCAAAATTGCGGACGGTCACAACAACGAAGTGGACTTTGTGGCCGATCTCGTACCAGGGGATGCTGAGGGTATTCGCACCATCGCCAATGAATGGTTGGAAGGAAGGTTGGACGTTGTTCGAGTCCGGGGGCAAGCCGACATTCGGCTGAGGGCGGGAATCATTCCCCTCGGGACTCACTCGGTCTCGGAATTTCTGACGTTTGAAGGTCAATCACTCTACCGCTCATTTGCCTCACTGTATTTTGGGGAGAAATCTCTCATTTGAGATCCTAAAAACATTTATTCCCGTCGTTCCATTAACGAATTGTTTACTGATGGGTTGTGCAGTCAACAAATTACCTCTTATCCCCGAGTATAACCTTACGCGGTTGAATTTCAAAGAGATGCCCATTCCTGGCGGCGAGAGGAGAGCCATGGCAGCGGAAGCTACCATCACGTCCTTCAATAAGTATCCGATATCACTTGATGTGCCCGCACTTGGCTTTGATATCCTCGTCCCAGGGTGTAATCCCTCCGACTCATCCATCCTTATCGCCTCGGCCACAACCAGCCGGGTAGCTGTACGACCGCATGCAGAGGTGGTTGCGGATGTTCATGGCCTCATCAAAGAGGTACCTGAAACCCTGACCCAACTCTGTCCAAACTCGGATTCGTCACCGCTAGACATCATCCTTAAGAAGTACATTGGTGGAGAATCAGCAACCGTGCTGGTGCGAGGCCAGAAACATCCAGCTGGCGACACTCCGGACTGGCTTACGCAGATCCTATCTAGCATCACGGTTCCCGTGCCATTCCCAGGACGCTCGTTTGATAATCTGATTCGCAGTTTCAATCTGACCGATGTCCGCTTTAAGTTGCCGGACCCCTCAGCAGATCCCGACGACCCTAACTCTAACCCGAGGGTATCAGGAACGATCCTGGTGCTTGCTGGTCTCCCATCTGAGATGAACTTCTCCTTGAATGTTACCAGTGTCCGCTCAAACGCCGATGTCTTCTACCGGGGTAACAAACTGGGGGAGCTGAACTTGGAGGAGTGGCAAAGGGCAAACTCGACTCAGCTTCCAGCAACCGAGGACCACGAGGCGACATTGCTAATTCAGTCACGCGTGAACGACGCACCGCTAAATGTGACCGACGCAGACGTCATGACCGATGTTATCCAGTCTCTCCTTTTTGGCGGCAGCCAAGTCGTACTGGTCATCAAAGCTCTGGTGGATGTCAGAGTGCAAACTATCCTTGGCGAGCTCGTGGTGAAAGGCGTCCCCGCTGAGGGGGAAATTCCAGTAAAACGTCCGTCTCTTTTCTGATCGTACCGTCAGTCGCCCCAGGTTTATGGCTTCTCTGCTCTTGCTGGCAACAACGGTCCATCATCTAGTCGGCAACTAACATGGCACCTTTCGTAGCTCTTGGAAGGGACGTCATGGGCTCTGCTCAGCCCAAAGTTGGGAGCATCGAAATCACCGGCACGACGGCCACTTCTATTTCATTTAGCGCGTTAGTAAACGTTACGAATCCCACACCCTACTCGGCACGCATCCCATTCATCAGCATCCACGTTCAAAGCAATGGAACGACCGTGGGCGAGGCCCGAGCGGAGAACCTCAACATCATCCCCGGCAACAACACAGATTTGGCGGTTTCGGCGACATGGGACCCATTAGGGATGGGCGGAGACAAAGCAGCCCAACGCGGACGCGACCTCTTGTCGGAATATCTGTCCGGCTATAACACAACTGTCACGGTCCGCACCCATAGAGGGACTTTCCCCTCCCTTCCGCGCATTGGCGAGGCCCTATCAAGACTGAACCTCACCCTGTCGGCACCGCGGCTCAGATTACCGCCATCTCCCGGCAACGGTGATGGCGATGACGACGACGAAGAAGAGAGGCGCTTTATCCGCGATGCCACGTTTCATATCCTCTCATCCACGGCCACGTTCACGCTGGTGTCCCCCCTGACGAGGAATATTCTGTACATCGATGAGGTGAATGCGACGGCGTATTATAATCATACGGAGCCGATCGGCAGGATCGAGTACAACCTGCCGTTTGCGGCGCCGCCGGGAGCTTCGCAGACGCCGAGGCTGCCGGTGGAGTGGTCGCTGGACTCGGTTGGGTATGGCAAGCTTAGGGAGGCGCTTGGGGGAAGACTGAAGCTCGACGCGAAGGCTGTGGTGGGGGTGAGGTTGGGGAGGTGGACTGAGAGGGTTTGGTATGTGGGCAGAGGCATTGGCGCGGGGGTTCGCTTATGAATGGAAGACTCGTAGACTCTCTGGGCGTATGGACTGAGTTTGGGTTGATTTCAGGGGTATGGAGTTGGGATGGGATGGTGACACATGGGTAACGGGTCATGGTTTTGTATTATGGGTTATTGCATGGTATAAACGCAGTTTTAGAGGGCAGAGGATACACGGTACTACTAAGTTACGCAGCCTTCCTAAGGATACACGGCGCCTATTGGGGATGGATTTGTAGATAAGTGCTGGACTGCTGGTTGACACGGAGTATAAATACCGTCTTGAGTTTCAGGTTTCGTTCAACTCCTGAATCGGTTACTGTACTGTAAATACCTACACTACAGTATGTATTCCATGTACAATACAGTACATTTACAGGAATTGTGACCTACAAAACGTCAATAATACGAACTAACCACCCCTAACGTCATAGGAGCCTTATAGCGGGTCGACGCCAATTCCGGCGGCTGACGCACCCTCTTACAGCACAGTTGCTTGCCGTTAACGATTCTGCATCATAGTGAGCGACTGCCTTGGAGACCTGGTGTCAGTCGGACAACCTTGGAAGACTTGGAGCTGCGATAATTTGCAGAGACCGACCCTCGTTCAAGTAAAGTTTCCGTTCGAGACGTCAGGTAACATTAATTACCTAGCTATCATAGCTCGAGTGGGAGGGGACGCTGCGGCACGACCCGATCGCTCCTTCAACACCAAACTCGCGCTTCGCAGACAGACGTAGCGGGATCGCGTTACTTCTCGGGGGTCAAACTGCACTCTCTTTCAACACCTGCAGTAAAAATCGCTAGGTCTGCCGCATACGGGAAGCACGCGCATCCGCAATTCGCCCTTCTTCTACACCCGGAAATGGCAGCCCAGGACGAGGCCACATCATACCGATAGAGACAGCGAAGCGAAGCAGTTGACTCGGGCGCTATGAAGACGGTTCTGCCCGGCCAGCCCGAATCGCGGCTTCAGGCACTGGCAACGGGCTGCTGGGGCACACGGCGCATCACTGTGAGGAATACTTACCCTAGTTACCTGCCTGCGCGTTTCTCGGTGTTTCTCGTGCTCCCTCCATGTTCCACCGCTGACGCGCTGTTTCCCTTGGACAGGCGTACATAACCGGCAACGCCCTCGCCATCCTCGGTGAGCCTGATACCGTGCTTCAGACGGTCTACGACGATGATCCCGAACCGCTGCAGGCGGTAGCCCTGGACGAGGCGTCGGGAAAGATAGTCGTGTGCACCGGGCGCCATGTGAGGGTGTATCAGCCGCTTCAAGGGGTTGGTGAAGATGCGCCGCGGTGGGCGCTGCAGGCGTCGATTGCTATCGTTCGGGCCGAGGACGACGCTGCTGGTGGGGACGAGAAAGACAGCGGCCGGCGGCCTGCAATCTGCCTCTCGTGGGGCGCATCCGAAGAGCTCCTCGTCGCGCATTCTAGCCTCGAGCTGTATCAGACATCGCTGTCGTCGACGGCAACCACGACGGTTCCCGAGTGTTCGTGGCGCAAGCGCCTCGCCAACCCGGTCCGCATCGCAAGCTTGTCATACGACTCGGCCTATATCGCCTCGGTGGGCGAGCACGAACGGCTGGTTAAGGTCTGGCGCCGGCTGAGCTATGGGTCGAGAGAGGTCAGGTTCGACTACATGTATCTGCGGCATCCCCAGCCCGTGACGGGGATGCAGTGGCGCCGCCCCCGCCATGTGGATCAGACCATCGACAACGCGCTGTATACATTTTGCGCTGACAACGTGCTGCGGGTGTGGGCGGGGTCGGATAGTCATGGCCAGCAGCTTCTGCACCTGTGGGGGAAGTTGGACTTGGGAGCAGCAATTCAGCGACGGTCGCTGATGCCTGCCAAAGCCGATACGCTCCGCTGGGCGTTTGTGATGCATGGCCGGGACCTGTCGGCAGCGACGGAGAAGGCTGTGCAGGAGAACACACCGTCCTCATCATCGGCAGAGGATACTGCCGCCCTTGAACATGTTATTGCTGTTGCGAATCGGAACCCGGAAGTCTGTGTGGTGTTGGACGGGAGGGGTCACATGTCCGCCTGGGCGCTCGAGAATATCGGGTGCAAGACTAGAAAGTCAAACATCTTCAACGTGGCGCACGTCTCGTCTCCAGAGCTGGACTTTTTGAGGGGATACGCGGGGGCAAAGAGCTACCCGCATGTTGAGGCGTACAGTTACTGCAATTCCGGAGGTCACTTGCATATTTTACTGCACTTCTTTGATGGAAGGATCGAGGTCTACCGTAGCAACGTTGCGGCCTTGTTTGACCCGAATCCAAAGCGAAGGCGTCTGAGCCTCAGGTGCCTCTGGACGGGGCACACGGCGCCTATCCGCAAGATTGTGCGAAATTTCAGTGGCAGGGCTATCGTCTCACGCACGGATGAGGGACAGAGTGTTATCTGGAAACATGAGCTTGACCCCAAGCGGACGACGCTCTCTCGCCTGGTGGCGATCCCGCATGAGGGGCATATTCACAGGATGTGCCTGCTCAGAAAGGGGCGGTTCGTGGTGTTCCTTCAACATCAGAACATCTCGCTGTGGGATTGCCGGCAGTCAGAGCCCAAGATGCTCGCTGAGAGCAGTTATGGCATTGCCGAGAAGCCGCTTTGTCTACTCATCCTCCCGCGGCACAAGGTCGAGGATTACACAACAGCGCACATTGCGACTATAACATCCGAGAAACAAGGTCTCGTATGGGAGGTTAAACTCCCTTTCTACTCCCGGGGCAATTTCACCCCCGTCACGAACGGCATTAGCCACAGCGACCATGACCAACAGCAAGGCTCAATCAAGGAATTCGCCACGTTCACCCTCCAAGACGCCGGCTCCCTGGCCTATGTGCTACCCGTCGACCCAGCAGGCACCACGCCCGTCATCTCGGGCTTCCTTGACGTGTTCGCGAGGGACGTCGCCATCTCGTACACCCACTCTGGGCGGGTTGAGTTTTGGACCGCGCGGGTCGGCCACCATGACCAGGGCGTCGAGTGGCTGTCGACGAGCTCGATGGAGACGGGAATACCCAGCCCGGCGCTCGTGAGCGGCAGCACCAGGAAGAAGGCGGCGCTTGTTGACGCCGACCGCTCCACCCTGACCATATGGGACATACGCGGCGCCCGGCTCGAGTACACGCAGCAATTCGACAACGGCCACACCATCCGCGACCTCGACTGGACGTCAACACCCGACAGACAGTCCATCTTGGCGGTCGGATTCCCCCACCGCGTGCTGCTGCTGTCCCAGATGCGCTTTGATTACCTCAACCAGGGCCCCGCGTGGGCCCCCATCAGGGAGATTGGCATCCGTGAACTCACGCCGCATCCCATCGGTGACTCGGTGTGGCTCGGCGACGGGCATCTCGTTATCGGAGCCGGGAATCAGTTGTTTGTGCATGATCGGGAGTTTGATGCGGGCAGCTCGTTGGTGACCAGCCTAAGGCTGCCGCAAAAGAAAAGGGGGGAGGGCGGTTGGGATTTGTTTGATGTGGTGCAGAGACTGAACGGCCCGTTGCCCGTGTTCCATCCTCAGTTCCTGAGCCAGTGCATCCTGGCTGGCAAGATCGCGCTGGTGCATGGGATTCTGATGGCGTTGCATAGGACACTAAAGTTCTGGGCCGAGGGCGACGAGGTCGATGATTACCTTGGCTTTGATATGGAGGCTTTCTACGCGGTCGAGCAGGTGCGTTTCGCCAGCGATAAACTCCTAGGGGTTTCGGATTGAGGGACTATATACTGACCTGCCCGTGCACAGTCCGCCAAGACACCCTCGGGCGACTATCTCGGCCGGCGCATGTCGTACGGCGAAAGCGACGAGCCCTTCTCGGAGGAGGTGGCGGCCGGGATCAACGAGCGGCTCACGCGCATCGGCATACCGCAGCTCTCGGGCCACGAGCAGATCCAGCTGATGGATATCGTTGAGTGCGTCGGCCTGGTCGAGAAGCAGCGGCGCTCGCTCGACGAGAACGGCGCGCGGTTCATGCTCTTCTTCAGGCAGCACGCGCTGCGTAAGGGAAGGACGAACGAGATACAGATGGGCTGGAGGGAAATCAACTGGGCCTATCACTCGACCAGCCAGGACGTGCTGGCTGACATTGTGTCGCGGCAGAACCATGGGCGGATGCTCTGGCAGGGGGCAAGAGAGAGTGGCCTATTTATGTGGCTGGCGGATAACGCTGCCGTGGTGAGTTTTTGCTGGCGGTATTTACAGTGTTGTTTTGGTTTCGGTTTTGCTGATAAAAAGGATACAGAGGGCTCAGTTTGAGGTGATTGCGCGCAACGAGTACACCAAGGGCGAGGTGAAGAACCCGATCGACTGCAGCCTTTTCTATCTCGCGCTCAAGAAAAAGACGGTGCTGCAGGGTCTGTGGCGCATGGCGACGTGGAACAAGGAGCAGCAAGCTACGCAAAGATTTCTGTCCAACAACTTTGAGGATCCAAAATGGCGGACGGCGGCGCTGAAGAACGCATATGCGTTGATGAGCAAGAGACGGTTCGGTTAGTCTTCCGCCTCTAATCTCTTCGTTGGTTCTCCTGGCTGATGATTATATCAAGAATACGCTGCCGCCTTCTTCCTCCTGGCCGACCACCTCCAAGACGCCGTCAACGTCTGCCTCAACCAGCTCAAAGACATGCAGCTCGCCATCGCTGTGGCTCGCGTCTACGAAGGAGACCATGGCCCGGTGCTCCGCCGACTCCTCGAGGAAGAAGTCCTGGCGATCGCGGCGCAAGAAGGAAACCGATGGATGGCTTCTTGGGCGTTTTGGATGCTCCACCGAAGGGACATGGCGGTTCGCGCTCTGATTGTGAGTGGTGACATGTGTTAAGCGGGACAAATATTGTGGCTGGTTTTGCTGATTAGTGCATCAAAGACGCCCGTTTACACGCTCCTCGAGACACCGGGCTCGCCGGATCTCAAGTCCAAGATGTTTTTGACGGACGACCCGGCGCTGGTGATTCTGTACCGGCAGCTCAGACAGCAGACGCTGCAGACGCTGAGGGGCGCCAGCAAGGTGACGCCCAAGACCGAGTGGGAGTTTGTGCTGCACAATGCACGGCTGTACGAGCGCATGGGGTGCGATTTGTTGGGGTTGGATTTGGGTAGGTCTTTTTTTTAAAGTCTCTATCTAACCCAAGTGTCATGTCAAAGTGTCATGTCATGGGCTAACTGGGACGTCAAGTCCGAAACTGGGAGTTCTTCCAGCCAGCAGGTGTCACGGGCATTGCGGCCGGACTCGGCGGCGAAATTGACCCGCTCAGGCTGCTGAAGCGGCGGAGCTCGCTCGTGGTGGCGGACCTTCCGGTGTCGCCCGTATCAGTGTCGGCGTCGGCATCACAACCGGTGCCAAGTGAAATGAAGTCGGGCGGGCATATGCCCAGGCCGCAGGCGCCGCCGACGGTGTTTGAGGAGCCGGATGCCAATTCGCTGTTGGATAGCTTTGGGTTTTGATTTCGATTTGATTGGCATGGTTTTGTAAGCATAGCGTGGTGTATAACTCGCTGTATTATAAGTAAGCAAAGCGGTGGTTTAAATACGGTACAGCATGGATTTATTAAAGCGTCAAGGCCAACGGAGTTGGGGCGAGGGAATCGTTATATTCGTCTTGAACTAAGGTAGATAGAAGAAGAACTTCATGACGCTCCGAGATGGTACAGTACCTACTGTACTGTACCTACAGTAGCATCATCTTCAGGTCTTCCGGATTGTGCACTAGAGATTGCAGTGGCTAAATGCGCCAGAAGCATTGTTAGGCGGGTTATTTTAGTGATACAGTTAAGGTAGCGATCTCCTACTCGCTTCAAAGCTGTCCTGCACGCTGTTGCGAATCTGAGAGGCTCCTATAGACGTAGATTTGTACAATAGGCTTCAAACTCCACTGTGGTTTCCATTCTCGGTACCCCGGGCTATATGCAACCTGGAACCGTCCACTGCATATGTACCCGGATCCTTACGGATACACCTGCATCTGAGTCTGACTCGACACCTCCGGGTCTCATGTGGTCACCGTCGGGACAATCTCACTCTCATCCAAGGTCTTGTTTCCACACGCGACCGCGCTTCAACAGCCATGGCGCGCCGGTCAGCGTCACGCAAACCATATTCCACCGCCGACGTCCCTGCGGCTTCCTTCACTGATGACGACGCAGAAAACACGAACACAGGCAGCAGCAGCAGCAGCAGTCATCAACTCCTTCAAGATGAACAATCCCCATCATCACCATCGCCAACCCCACCCTCACTGCTATCCACCCGCAAACACATCCCCGGCCAGTCCTTCACCGCCCGCGGTGTCGCCGTCGGCCTTCTCGTCGGGCTTGTCATCTGCTTCTCCAATATGGTATCTATCTACCACCTTGTTACAACCTATTGGATATATTTACTAACCGCAAGGGGAAAAATAGTACTTTGGCCTGCAAACAGGCTGGGTCAGCACCATGACCATGCCGGCCAGCCTGATGGGGTTTGGCATCTTCCGCCTGCTGGCCCGCCGCGGCCTGCTCGACGCCCTGCTCCCCTTTTCCCCCGTCGAGAACGTCCTGGTCCAGACTGTCGCGGGAAGCATGGCCATCATGCCGCTCGGCTGCGGTTTTGTCGGCGTCTTGCCCGCCATGAATTACCTCCTGCGGCCCGAAGAGCAAGGGCCTGTTGTCCTTGGTCTGGGGAAGCTGGTGCTCTGGTCGTTGGGGTTGTGCTATTTTGGGGTGGTTTTTGCCGTGCCGTTGTAAGTGCTTGCTTTCTTGTCCTACCTGATCTAATGGGATTGATTGGGTGAGGTTGTGGTGGTGATGGGGTTGGAGCTGGAGGAGGGCGCTGACTGATGGTTCCCGTTGCAGGCGCCGGCAGGTCATCATTAGGGAGCAGCTCAAGTTTCCGAGCGGGTTTAGTACCGCCGTGCTGATCAGTGTACTACACGGCCGGACCCCCAAGGAGTCCAAGACGGCCGACGGCAGGACCGTCACTGCCGCCGGCTTCGCCAGCCTTGTCGCCGCCCCTGGAGAGGACGAGGTTCCCCCGGCGAGCGGTGAAGGGGAGTCGGCCAAACACGCCGAGTCCTGGCGCCGTAATGTGCAGCTCCTGCTGATCTGCTTTTTCGTGTCGGGCTTGTTCACTTTCGCGACATACTTCCTCCCCGTGCTGAGGAACATCCCAATCTTTGGCTCCGTCGCAGCGAGCACCTGGCTCTGGACCCTCAACCCCAGCCTGGCATATGTCGGACAGGGAATCATCATGGGTCCGGCTACGACACTGCACATGCTGCTTGGTGCGGTTGTCGGCTGGGGCATTCTCTCTCCATTGGCCAAGAGCAGGGGGTGGGCGCCGGGTCCCGTCGGCGACTGGGAAAATGGCAGCAAGGGATGGATCGTGTGGACGTCGCTGGCAATCATGTTGGCCGACTCCATTGTCAGCCTGAGCTACCTCGCTTTCCGCTCGACGAGGCAGTACTTCCCCCAGTTGCTACGCCTCGTGCCATTCCAGCTTGTCCCCGATCGCGTGAGGACACTCCTTGGAAGGAGGCCACACGCGGGCTATACGTCAGTAGCCAACAGAGAAGACGAGCGTGATGCTGCTCCCAGAAGAAGCGCTGCTTCGTCCATGTCCCTGTCGTCAGATGGCGACGGCGGCGATCCATTGCTCGGGGAGCTCCAAGACGAAAAGGAGGAGCTTGATGCGCCCCTAGACCAGCAAATCAGTGACCGGATGGTGGCAGTTGGGCTGATCCTCTCCATCTTGTTTTGCATTGTCTGCATTCACATTGTTTTTGGCAACCTTGTGCCTCTCTATGCCACTGTAACAGCCGTTTTCATGGCCCTAGTGTTGAGCATCATGGGCGTGAGGGCCCTGGGCGAGACCGACTTGAATCCCGTCTCGGGCATCAGCAAGCTTGCACAGCTGTTTTTTGCCCTCATCATCCCTCAGTCTAACAAGTCAAGCGTCTTGATCAACTTGGTCGCTGGTGCAGTGGTGCGTATAACCTTTTGCCATGATATGATGCTAGATTTTATGCTCACATTTGCTGACACGGTTTGCCTGACAGTCCGAGGCGGTACGTCGATAGAACTTGGGAATCACAATCCTGGTTTGAACTAACATGTAATGCGTTCAGGGTGCCCTTCAAGCTGGCGATATGATGCAGGATCTGAAAACCGGCCATCTGCTCGGAGCTGCGCCGAAGGCTCAGTTCTGGGGACAAGTCATCGGCGCCACTGTTGGTGCTGTCGTCAGCGCCTTCATCTACAGGCTGTACACAACGTAGGTTGACCCAATTGCTCCCTCAAGTTCACCATGCGAACGTCGCAATGTTCTCAGCGGGCTACAGCTGACTCTCCAATCTCAGCGTCTACGAGGTACCGGGCGACCTGTTTCAGGTGCCTACGGGCTATGTCTGGATCTTCACCGCCAGACTCGTAACGGGCAAGGGACTCCCGCCCATGGCTAAGGAGTGGGCCCTCGGGGCGGCTGCGCTCTTCGCAGTCACGACCGCGCTGCGCATCGCGACGGCTGAGAAGCGTTGGCAAGCGCTGATACCCGGCGGAATCGCGGTTGCGGTCGGCATGTACAATGTCCCTTCGTTTACTCTTGCCAGGACCATGGGAGGCCTGCTCAGTTGGTGGTGGAGGTCCGCCATGGGATGGCAGGACACGCCTCTGATAGTTCTTGCTTCGGTGAGTGTGTTGTCTGGTCATTCAGGGGTAAGAGAAAGCTGCTAACTTTACGGCCAACACAGGGATTCATTCTTGGAGAGGGTTTCTTGAGTATTGTGAATTTGATTATGCAAAGCGTTGGCGTTCCACATCTATAGATAGACGGCTCGACGGTTATGTCCTAGATTCCGCACTGGATTGGAAAAGATGCGAGCAGCATTCAATGGCGTCTTTTGGGGTACCACTTAGATATACTTTTCACGACTATTCTATCGACGACAATTACTGTGCGCTCTATTCATGTAAATATTTCGTGTGCTCAGTGCAGGCGCCACGTCTGGTACTGCTTGTCGCTGTCGTCCAACCCCCAACTGATTTTGATATTCAAGCCCCGAGCGTGATCCTCAGGAATGGAATAGGAGATCTCGCCCTGGAGTTTTGTGCCAGGACCAACCTTTAGTTCCTTTGCCGTTTTCGGGTCAATGAGGAATAGCCCTTGCTTCCAATGCGTCTCGGGACCGAACGGCCCCGTGGTGAAGGCCACCCGTTCCCGGCCTGCAGCCGCCCACTCCCTAGCCGTGACGGTGGGCTCGACGACTTCATGGCGGCTCTCGCCGAAGAAGATATCGAACCACACGAGAAACCCGTCCAGTCTTTCTGGCGCCGCAATTTTCTCAGAGAGTGTCGTCTGCCACTTATCCTCAAACACCAGATCCTCGACCTTGGCCGTGTGAAGATCGAGCATGCGAAAGGCGCACGCGGAGCCGCAGAGGGAGTCCCGGAACATCGCCGGAAGGCGTGCATCCGTGTAGATACCGCTCTGCATCGCCTTCATATCAAAGCCGTACACATCGCGCCAAAAGTCGACCTGGTCGGCGACGTACCCCGCGTCGGATACGGGCGCGATAAACATGGAGGAATGACTCGGCACAAGCAGGCCGTCCGGCTTGAGGTAGCGGTCGCGGGCATAGAAAATGGAGGGCAGCATCGCCTCGTACAGGAGGCAGTAGCCCATCCACTCGGAGACAATGATGTCGACCTTGTCGACGGGCAGCGTGACGTCCTCGATGCGGCCCCTGATGCACGTGATGGTACCGTCGAGACCGTTGTTGAAGATGTTCTCTCGCGCCTTGTCGAGGATGGCCGAGTTGTCGACGGCGAGCACCTTGGCCGCGCCGGCTTTGGCACAGAACATGCTGAGAATGCCCGTGCCGCAGCCAATGTCGAGGACAACCTTGCCAGCAAAGAGGTGCTTGTTGCCGTAGATGAAGTCGCGGTAGGCGTCGGTGCGGACCGTATCCTTGAGCATGGTCTCGTGAATGTCTTTTTCATCTGTTAGTCCTTGCCGCTCTTGTCTCTGCTTGTAGCAGCAGAACTCACCGTTATGAGCGTACGACTCAAAATAGCCGGCCGAGTCATCCTTTTCCTGCTTTTCAGGGGCCACAACGCCGGCCTTGGAAGATGGTTCGCCCTTCTCACTCTCCTCATCCACACCCCAGCGCTTGTCAAGAGTCTGCTGTACCGCCAGCCGATAATTGGCGAACTGCTTGGCAAGCTGCTCCAGCTCGGCCTGGAGCTGCGCGTTTTTCTGCAGGAGCTCGTCTACTTGGGGACCCTCCACCGTCTTCCCTTGACCATGAGCCTCAGTACCGCTCGCCCCAGGCTCGGGCAGCTCATCCAGGCAGAAAATCAGCGCATCATCCTCCAGCACCGGCTTAAGCAGCGACTCATCAGCCAAATGCTCCGCCGTGATCTTCTCAGGGAGCGCAGCAGCACCACCCTGTTTTACACTCCGGCGGACTATTTGTCACTTCGTTAGATTTTTGAATACCCACAACCACCGACCGGAAGGGAAGAACTCACCAAAGTTTATAAGCTTCACACAGCCGTGGAAATCCAGACTCAACCGGTCACGGACAGCGATAAAATCAAAGCCGTACTTGTCCTTGCAGTAGGCCAGCATGGACGGCGCATCGGGGAAGACACGGTCGTCAAAGAGGGAGACGACAGACACAGTCTCTTGCTCGCCGTCCTCGTCATCGTCGGCGGTGTTGTTGAGCCAGGCCTCGTCGTTGTCTGATGACGAGACGGATTCCGAGTCGCTTGCGCGGGGGTAGGCTTCGGCCATTGTACACTTGATATGAAAATTTGTGAGATGAGTATACAATTGAGACACGACTCAATAACCGTGCTGCTAGAGACGGCTTCGATAATACGGCTAAGAATGCTCGCTGATTTTTGCATCCAAACTTTTTGTGTGGAGCAAAACGTCTGCTGCTGATTAGGTGCGGGGAGCGGCTAAAATAGGGGCTGCAGCCTACTGAAGAAGCGCGTTCTCTTCAGTGAGCAGCTGCCCTCTTATAGTACCTCGAGTACCTAACGATACAGCAAGCAGGCCCTATCCGTTCAAACCGTTCTTGATCCCGGGCCCTCTCCTTGTGGGAGTGATGTTCTATTCACCCTTCTGAAACCTGCAGGCCAATAGTAACAGGTCTCTAATGACATTGAAATCACGTCCTTGTAGATACCAATTCCCGCTGCAAATGCTGTTCATGAAATCTTTGGCCTCCCCCTTTTCGCAAGACTCCAACTCATACTACGGACCGTCACACAACCTAATCGGATAAGTGACAACCCGCTAATCATCATCTCCCTCCTCCTCCTCATCCTCTTCCTCCCCCTTCTCATCGCCATCTTCATCCTCCTCCCCATCAGACACCGCTTCCCCATGCGCCTTGAGTCGCTCCTAAAGCCCGTCGTGGTCAGCCAGCGCCATCCTCCCTCCGCAAACAATAGACAAAAGGAGGGAGATGAACAGCAACTCACCTTATACTTGGTAACCTTCTCCTCCAGATCACCAAAGACAATCAACAAATCATCCAGCTCACTTTGAAGAGCCTTCCTCTCCTCCTCCTTAGCGTCCACCTTGTCCCGTAGCTCGCCCACCTCCGCCTCTCTCTCCTCAACTCTTTGCTCCGCAAGCCTAGCCTTTTCTTCTGCACGCTTGACTTTCTCCTGCAACCCCTTAACATCCCGCTCAGCAACCTCCAACTTCTCCTCCACACCCGCAAGCCGCGCAGTTTCTGCTTCCAGCACCACCACCTTCCCTTCAACCGCCTGCCGCGCCTTGTTGGCCTTCATGAGATCCACCTCGAGCCGGCTGATGGTGGCTTTGAGGTCTGCCTGTTCGGCCTCGGCCCTGCGGCGGAGGCGCTCGGCCTCCTGGTCCGCGACACGGCGGGCCGCGTCGGCCTGGCGGGCGTGTTCGGCACGCAGCGCGGCGAGCTCCTGAGCGTGGGCGCGCAACAGCGCGTCGTGTGCCGTCTGCAGACGCCCCACTTCGGCCCGCGCCCGCTGGTGCTCCTGCTGTTCCTGCGCGAGCTGCCGCGTGAGGTTGGCCGCAGCGGCCTCGGCGGCCTGGACGGCGCTGTCGCGGGCGGCAAGCTGGGCGCGCAGCGCGGTCAGGGATTCGTTTGCGCGCGCGAGGGCGGCGGCCGCGTCGGACTTGGTCTGCGCGTGCGCGGATTGTTCCTGTGTCAATTGCCCCGTGAGGGCGGCGGTTTGGGACGCGGCCTGTTGCAGGGCCTGGTCCTTCTCGGCGAGTTCGGCGCGGAGCGAGTCGACTAGCTGCCTTGAGACGCCCTTTTGCACGCCGTTGGTTATGACGGAGGTTTCCGCGTCCGGCTCGCGATCAATGGCGCGCAAGATGCGGCTGTAGTTGTCTTTGAAGAAGTCAACAAATGTGTCGTCGAAAAAGACGTCGGGCAGTTTTTGGTCTGGGTTGCTGGTGTCTAGCTTTTGGGGGAGGACTTCGTGATCCCTCATCAAGGGATGGGAGCGCAACCGGGACAGCTTGTCAAAGTAGCGGTCACGCCCCATGCGCGACAGGATCATTTCCCTGACCTTTGCACGGGGGACAGGTGAGTCTTTTGTGGAAAATTCGTACACAACACCGGCTAGCATCGCGCTCAGGCCTTGGACGATTACATCCCCGTTGGGGTTCTCTATTGCCGCTTGGATCAGCCCCTGGAGGTTGGTGAACTCGCCAAGGAAGTCGTTGACCCCATCGAGGTCTTCAAAGAGCCAGCACAGAAGCAGCATAAGATAGCCGATGCTGATGCGCGGGTCCTCGGATTTAGTAACGCTGCTGAGGAGGTGTGCCGTGATGGTCTGGATGCTGGTGACAACCTCCTCGCCGCTTTCTTCGTCGCCTTCTGTCACGCTCATGGCCAGCGCTTTGGTTTCGGGGTTGTCATGCACGAGGTGGAGCATGATAACCGCTGCGAACCAGTACCGGTACGGGTCTGTCGTGATCGGCTCAGGGTTCGGTTGGAGAAGGATCGAGAGAGCATTGGTGAAGTCGCCAGCCTTCATGTTGTGAGACCGGACGGCATGGTCTAGAAAATGCATGCGGATCTGGGCATGCTTATAGAAGTAGGCCTTGAGGCATGTACAAGCAGCCATCCGCAGGTCAAATTCCTGCAATGAGTTTACCGCAAAGACAAGCTCAAGGAGACCGTCAACAACGAACACCTTTGGGATTCCGTTCGTCTGAGCCCGCCGCCCGTTGGCAGCAGGGAGATCGAGAGGTGATGGTACTTGCAGGGCAGCAAACCGCTCCTGCACTTTAGAGTTCCCCCTAATCATGTCTGCGCATGCTAGTAGCGCTTCACATTTGATGGGGAGCTCAGCTGTGTGGGAAAAGGCGATCTGTAGAGTGTTCTCCAAGACAGGACCACCACGCGCGCGCACGCGACCGCCTGCCACAATGTCGCCCAGGAAGGTTTCCTGATTCATGGCTGTCGCTGCAGCGCCGGGGACAAGGAACAGTCGTATTACCGCGAGCATGGCATACACATTCCTGTTGCGCTGTACTTCCACCCATTGCGCGACCTCTTCACCGTCCTCGCCTCCCTTGTACGCGTCCCTTAAGAGGCGACCTGTCTCTGCAACGAACCCCATGTCCCTGAACATGGTCTGATTCAGGGTATTGAGCCGGAGCAGGTTGGCCAGCAGGATCAAACAGTCCTCCACCACCCTTGCACCACCCGCAAGACCGCCCTCCTTGGCGATGATCTCGAATATGGGCGCGAACCCCTTTTCCAGCGTAACCAGGTTCTGGATCACGACCGACGTCGGGGTAAGGTCGGTGAGCAGACCGATTGCCTCGTCGCGAATCGCTTCCCTCGGATCCTCCAGAACAGCAACAATGCGGGGGATGCCCTCGTTCGTGTTGACAATACATTCCTCGGTCCTCTCGGTCCGCGCAGACAAGATGGCCGACAGCAGCTGCAGCGAGTAGAGGCGCGAGTAGAAGTCGGTCCTATCCCCTCCCAAGAAGTCGAGCAATAAGGCAATATTCTCGTGCCGCTGGGTGAACTCGTCAGCCACCCAAAGGGCAATCTCCTCCGAGGCCTCGGGACTGTCTGGGTCGGGCGTGAAGAGCATCAGCAGAGTCTCGAGGACGACCTTGACCGTGTCCACATCCTCGCCATCGCGGCTTAGACTACCGATCAAGCTGCGAAGGGCGCCAGACGCGACCGAGGCTGGGTACTGCTTGGCGAAGCTGCGTAGTCCCAAGATGGCGGCGCGTCGGTCTTCGAGAAGCGTCGCCGTGCTCAGCCGGCCACTGAGCACGGGGATAGTCTCGCTCACCGACTGCTTGGCCGGTGCCGTCGTGATGGTCGAGAACACGGACATTGCGGCGTCGGTTGCGGTTGCGGCGGGGAAGGGGGTGGCCGTGGATGGCTAGCAGCCATGGAGAAGCATCGACGGTTTCTGATACTTTTAGATTTCGTAGCACTGCACGTTAGCTTGCCGGACTGTCGCCGTTGGTGATGATGACGGTATTCGTCCAGGAGATCAAGATTCGCTCGTGCGGCTATTTCATCCCCTCAAGATCACGAAGCGGCCTCTCTCAATTTCCAATAGCCGGTTTAGACGTCAAGATGTTCGCATTGCGTATGGGTGTGTATTCGGACTTAGGTGAGGTGGACAGGTGTCGTATCCAACGAGTAATTAACTTGGGTACGATGGACGGATACCTATCGTTTAGTATGTAACTATCCGCAATACAGAAACTGTGGTAAGATTCACTGGCCAGCCGCCCCAGCTGCTGTGCAGCTTTCCCACTACTGTACCACAGTAAAGTTAGGGCCAAGCGCTGTTGGACCCGCTTTTTGCAGCCGAGAGGGTCCTTCACTCGCTGATGTCTTGAAGTCTTCGCCTCAGAACTTTCAACCCTTGACGCGCTCACGCATTCGAGGCCTTTTCGCCTTCTTCTACAACTTTTGGCCCGTTTCCTTACCTCTCGAATCAACCTCCCCACCAGGGAATGTTTAAGGTTGGAAACAAAGAGGATTAGCGCATTTGATGCCGCCGATAAGGAGACAAAGCCTCCTCCATCTTTGTCGGCATTATTCTCCCAACTCGCCGCTGCTGATTGCGCGCCGAAGCTTCAATCTTCCCGACGATTGACCGCGACCCATTCGAAGATATCGCAACGGACAATCCCATGTCCACAACCGATCTAAAACCACTCATCACAAACCTTCGCCTATTCCCTTACCTCCTGATAGCTAGCCCGGGTTAGTATCGAACCGCCGTTCTACCTCGACACCGATAAACTCTGCCCCACGCTCGCATTTGACGGCTTTTCAAAATGGGTATTCCGGCTGCGTTCAGATGGCTCTCCTCCAAGTACCCCAAAATTATATCTCCTGTCATTGAGGAGCGGCCAGTTGTCTTGGAAGATGGCACTACCATTCCAGTCGACGCCACCAGGCCCAACCCAAATGGCGAGGAGTTTGACAATCTGTATCTGGACATGAATGGCATCGTCCATCCCTGCTCTCACCCCGAAGACAAGCCAGCGCCCAAGGACGAGGAGGAGATGATGATCGAGATCTTCAAGTACACTGACCGCGTCGTCAATATGGTCCGGCCTCGCAAGCTGCTCATGATTGCTGTTGGTAAGCTTCCGCGCCCAAGTCCTCCCCAGCTGCGAGAGAAGACCCATGCACTGACATTTTTGTAGATGGTGTGGCACCCAGAGCCAAGATGAATCAGCAGCGGTCCCGGCGGTTTCGCGCCGCCCAGGAGGCCAAAGAAAAAGAGGCGGACAAACAAGAACTGCTCAAGATGCTCAAGAAGGAAAAGGGCAGTACCATGAAAGAAGAGTCGGTTGAGACGGTCGTCAAAAAGGCCTTCGACTCCAATTCCATCACTCCAGGCACCCCCTTTATGGATATTCTCGCGGCAAGTCTACGGTATTGGTGCGCCTACAAGCTCAACACGGATCCCGCCTGGGCCAAAATAAAGGTTATAATCTCCGATGCTACCGTCCCCGGCGAGGGAGAGCACAAGATCATGGAGTTCGTTCGCTCTCAACGAAACTCGCCCGAGCACGATCCCAACACTCGTCACGTCATCTATGGTCTGGACGCAGATCTGATCATGCTTGGCCTTGCCACCCATGAGCCGCATTTTCGTGTTCTTCGTGAGGATGTGTTTTTCCAGGAGAGCAAAGCTAGGATGTGCAAACTCTGTGGTCAAAAGGGCCACGACGAGAGAAACTGCAAAGGTGAGGCAAAGGAGAAGGACGGCGAGTTTGACGAGAAGGACAAGGCCCTTCCCTTGAAGCCCTTCATCTGGCTTCACGTGTCGATTCTGCGTGAGTACCTTGCTGTTGAGCTCGAAGTCCCTCAACTTCCCTTTCGATGGGATCTGGAGCGGGCCATCGACGACTGGGTGTTCATGTGCTTCTTCGTGGGAAATGACTTCTTGCCGCATCTTCCAGCTCTTGAGATCCGAGAGAATGGTATCGACACCCTCACCGCCATCTGGAAGGACAATCTTCCCGTCATGGGTGGCTATATGACCAAGGACGGACATGTGGATCTTGAGCGTGCTCAGTACATTCTTGCTGGCCTCGCCAAGCAAGAGGATGCAATCTTCAGAAGGAGAAAAGAAGTCGAAGATCGGCGAGAGGCCAGCTTCAAGAGACGCCAGGCCCAGCAAGGTACTAATGGCAAGGGCCGCGCACAAGACTCGCCGCTCACCAAGAAGGCACGGAAAGGGCCGCCAGAGGCCAACGGCCCACCTCCGGGCATGGCTCTGTTTCCGGTCTCGAGCATATCGCAAATCACTCACGATATGGTAGTGAACAGGCGAGCACTTGAGCGGGCCAATGTGGCCAACAAGAGCGCTGCCAGTGTGCTCAAGAGCCAGATCCAGGGTCTGATGTCTCAATCTCAAGCCAAGCCTGATGGTGACGAGCCTACCAAGGAAGAGGACAAGGAAACTAAAACCCCGCCGTCAGCTCTGGGGAAACGCAAGGCGGAACTCATAAGCGAAGACGCCGATAGTACGCCTGGCGCGAGCTCCGATGCTGAGACGCCTGCGTCCAGCGAAGATGAAGGCCCGGTGGACACAGTTCGGCTTTGGGAAGAGGGCTACGCCGATCGCTACTATGAACAAAAGTTCAAAGTGGACGCCAAAGACATCGCCTTCCGGCACAAGGTTGCCCGGGCCTACGTCGAGGGTCTCGCATGGGTTCTGATGTACTACTTCCAGGGCTGCCCGTCGTGGGAGTGGTTCTATCCCTACCACTATGCTCCCTTCGCCGCAGACTTTGTGGACCTCGGCAAGATGAAGATCAACTTCGAAAAGGGCAGGATATCGCGGCCTTTTGAGCAGTTGATGAGCGTGCTGCCGGCGGCGTCTCGTCATGCCATCCCAGAAGTGTTTCACGACCTGATGACCAAGGAGGACAGTCCCATCATTGACTTCTACCCTGAAGAGTTTGAGATTGATCTTAACGGTAAGAAGATGTCATGGCAAGGTGTTGCCCTCCTACCATTTATCGAGATGCCCCGCTTGCTAGCTGCCATGGAAACGAAGCAGCACCTTCTCAGCCACGAAGACCAGGCGCGCAATGCGCCCGGCAAAGATGTCCTCTTGCTCTCTGATGCTCACCCGAAGCTCTATGAACACATCACCTCCCGCTTCTACAGCAAGAAGCAGGGAGAAACCAAGTTTAAGCTAAACCCGAAATTCAGTGATGGCCTCTCGGGAAAGGTTGAGAAGATTGAGGGCTACGTTCCGCACGGTTCGTTAGTCTACCCGCTGAACAGGAATACGATGCCGGACGTTGACTACGACCGATCCCTCAGGTATGTTGCTGGTGCCGTTGTCTTTTTGCAGCCACATTTGCTAACAGTTGCATAGTGTGCATTACGAGATGCCGAGTAGCTCTCATACGCACAAGTCGATGCTCCTTCGGGGCGCCAAACTCCCTGCGCCCGCTCTTGACAGGAGTGACATTGAGATTCTGAGAAGCAAGGGGCAGAAGTCCGGACGAAGTTTTGGAGGCGTGCCTCTCAGGAACAATAATGGGGGAGGACGAATAAATTACGGCCCAGGCGGGCCTCCAGGACAGGGCGGTCGCGGACCCGGATCTTACCAGCAATCCGACCGCGGTTACGGAAACGGGTACGGAAACGGGTACGGAAATAGCTACGGCGCTGGATATGGTACCGGATACGGCGGCCCTCAACCCCACTACGGTCCTCCGCCCGGATGGCAGCCACCTCCGCCCGGCTATCCCGGGTTCGGCATCGGAGTGCCTCCTCCGCCCCCGCCAGCTCACCTCTCTGGCGGCTACAACCAGGGGTACAGCAATCAGGGTTATAGCCAGGGCTATCGAACGGACCGGTATGACCCCGGACCGCCACCGTATGGAACATACCAGCCACAGCCTCCACCAGGTCATGATCGGCGGTATGATAGGCCGTACGGCGGGGATAACCGCGACAGGAACCATCGCGATTCCCGTGGATATCGCTATTAGCATATCCGATAGACGGACTGTGTTTGCAATTGTGTTGGCATTTGTTTATGTATAGGTCGTATCACTGAACAGAGGTTGGGGAAATCGGGCTTAAAATGTCAAGGGTTAATTCTAAGCGTGTTTCGATGCTGGCTGCCACTATGTATTAATGTGGCTCATATATCGCATAACTCTGTCCTCGTCTGACCGGTGCCCGCCTGTGCTACCTTGAGCTCACACAGGGCTCGGTGTGTAGGTGGGATTGGAAACCAAGATTAGGCAGTCTTCTTAGGACCGAGGTGAAGGAGGGTGCAACGCTGCAGCGGCAGTATTTAGGAGGAGCTCTTGGTGACAGTGAGGGTTGCATTCAAGTACAGCTTACACCTCAGATGTGTGTAACTAGTGTTACCATGCCCAGTGTAGACCTTGCTCATGGTTAGTGTTTGATCACACCGCCATAGGGCTCCACCCGGGCCAATAGGAAGCTATAGCCAAGCTTTGGCATACAAGGAGGGCCTGTATCTTGCCAGGTGTCAAGTCAGCCAAATTTGCTAGTGGCATGCACAACTCAAGATAACCTAGCCCAGCTAGCAATTGACCTTCCTGACCTTCGTACGTTGAATTCGCTGGAATCGCTGGAATCGCTGAATTGGCTAGAAAACGCGATTCCAGGGTACTTCGCAAATCAGTTGCTTTTTTTTTTCAATTGCCAGCCCACACTGCCCAGGCCGCATACTCACCTACTACACATTGGCCTTCCTAACCTTCCTAGCCTTCCTAACCTTCCTAGCCTTCCTAACCTTCCTAGCCTTCCTA